GCTAAAAAGACCTGTCTCTCACACCCCTGGTATCCCTCTAGGTCATGACAAGTGTGGCTGACACAAGCACATCAGGCATTGGGCTGCTTGCACACAATGTGCTCATTAGGCGATCATCTGTCTCTGCCCTGACTCCTTGCTAAAAGACATTCAGCCAGTTTGCATGTGAGGATTGTTGCTGAGGTGGAAAGATGAGTTTCAAAGGAGATGACAGAGAACTGTACAAACATCTCTTAGATAATCAGCTCCTTGAATCAATCCTTGGAGCCATGTAATTACAGGACAGTTGCTATATTCTGCTAAGCAGAAATACCCTTTGCAAGAGTCAAAGACACAAAGGTTGGTTTATTAATAACACGTATCATGCGAGCATCTTCTTAGTCCCATTGAAAGGAATGGAAAAAAGAGTAACTACATGAAAAAGAAGCTTTTTCAAGCTAGGCAACAGCTAAGAATTTCCCTTGCCAAAAAAAATTCTACATCCTGTCACGTGCTCAGTCACCTGTCACCCACAGTGACAGCAAGTTAAAAAGGAAGTGGTGCTACTGCTGACCACATTTAGTTCCTGCTTTTAGTTCATGCCTAGGCCCACCTTAGTGAGCAGCGAGGTCACATGAAGCTCCTCACAACAGTTCACAGCAGGGTTGTTCAAACCCCTTTCAGTTTGGGGCAGGCAGGCACATATTCCCTGAACATTTGGTCTGAGATTGTTTCAAATACACACAGGCCCTCCAAACAGAACCACAGAAAAAGAACAGCCAGGTTGCAAGTCAAATATTCACATGGTTTCCACCTCAAATCCTAAATCCCATTCCGTAAACTGGAACTGGCCATATCCCTCCTCCAACTTCAGCCTACATTTGGGGGAAACTTGACCTCGGTTCACTGAAAGGTTTGCAAATCCTGTTTTGGGTTTGTAACAAAACCTCCAAAGCAGACAAAATACCCACGGCTCTAGGGCTATTTTGGACCTTGTTGTCAGAGCCATAGTGCCATCTAGTGGTAGCAGCTTGTACGAACAAACACGCCTCCACTTCCCAAACATACACCTAACCACGCAGTGTAATTCCAAGTCCAGTGAACATCTTTCTCCCGAAGTGCATCAATTATTTGAGAGGCAGAATAGCCACAGTGCTTCAGCAAAAGCCATTCACATCCCAAAGAGAATTTTTTCAAAGGGTCCCTAGTAAAGTGAAGAGCAAGCCCTAACTTTCCTATCACTTCCACAGAACTGGTGAGCAATCTCCTGTGAAAGGGTGAGCCACAGCACCTTCGAGGGGCAGCAGTCAGTCATTGAACTGGTTTTACACTCAAGTCATTTTCAGAATAAAACTGGCAGCTGCTGAAATTTCACTTTTAATTCCACTGTTATCAGTAATACCAACGTGTCCCAGTAACTGATTTTAGAGGAAACAGGACTCAGGTTTCACTTTGTATTTTGAGAGCTCCCTTCCATAGACAGCAATACAAATGCACTTAGTTCTCAGGAACTAGCTACAGATTTTTGGATTCCTGATTTATGTCATATTGTATTCCTTTGTATTGTAGTTTTCATAAGTACTGAGCAACCAAAGCAACTTTCAGATTTAAATCACAAGCTTTGTGGGGAAAAAAAATAATAAAAAAATCAAGCTCCTTATGCCTCACTTCAAACACTGCTAAGGGAATTCAGCTCATTGTATGCCCCGTGTGATGGGGTTAGGGCAACACGAATTCCTGCTTCTTGGTGAAGTTGCAGCAACTGGTGTTCCTGCTCTAAATACTGCTCTGGTTTCAAGGAGCCTTCAGTGACATTTAAGTTCGTGAGTTTTACCTTTCAGCCAAGGCAAAGCAGGAACACGAACTTGGTTACCACAGCTCAGCCAATGTGTAGCAATGCAGTTACCACCACTCTTGTTCTTATGCACTGAGTCACTTTTCCTACAAGCAGATATGAGCTGCATCTCAGAGGAGAGACATCTATTCAGACTGAAAGAAGGATTACAGTGCAGCAGAGAGGCAGGGAAAAATACAATTTCAGCATTGTCCTGAAAAGCAGCTGGTCTTTCAGGTTCCTGGAGGTGTTTGTGAAGTTTTTAGTTCTCTAGATCTAGTGCAGGTGTTTCCTTGGCAGGTTTGTCTTCTTAACTAGAGTATAATCCTTCCTCTGTTTCAGTCATTCTGTCCGTGAGTTAATGAGCCTGAAATTACTGTACACTCATTTGCCCCCCTCTGAGCTCTGATCTGTGATACAACCTCAGCTGTAGCTGGATTTCTCTCTTTATCAACTGGGGCTGGAGCCTAAAAGGTAGGCTTGATGCTGAAAGCATTCAATTTACATCTCAGTTTACATGAGGAAAAAGGGAGAAAGCACTTTTCAGAGCTTAGGTTTCTATTGGGATCTACCCCTAGAAAGTGTTTTTTAAGCCTGACAGCAGCACAGATCAGGACTACCTTTGAGGCAGAGGACTCCAGATAACTGATCTCACCTTTGACACAAACAGCAAAGGGAGGACTAACTGCTACTTGCCTGTATTCCACAGACTTCACAGAATGGCCAGGGTTGGAAGGGACCTCAAGGATCATGAATCTCCAACCCCCCTGCCACATGCAGGGCCACCAACCTCCCCATTTAATGATAGACCAGGCTGCCCAGGGCCCCATCCAATCTGGCCTTGAACACCTCCAGGGACAGGGCATCCACAACCCCTCTGGGCAAAAATTCCAAATAACCACAGAAATTATTTGCCATCATCTTGCTTACAGCTGAACTGTTCCTGTGTTTTTTTTTTTTTTCCCCCCCTGCGGACCTCATTTCTTCCTCCATCTGCCTCTGTTGTTTACTCTGCAAGACTAAACACAGTGCCCATCTACTCACTATGTCTACCATGAAGATGAAGCCCTCAAGTGTAAGAGATAATGTTACCTGGAGAGCGCTGTATTTTTTCCAGTACGTACCCATGAATCTTAACCAAAATAAGACAACTTTCATCTGAACCCACATACTGAGTACCTCTCCAAAAATTCAAAAAAGCAGCTTTCCAAAAACTTACATACAAAAAACCACAGAAACAGTCATGTCTGGAGCTGAATGTAGCTGTCATTCTGTGTTGGACAAACAGCAACAAGAACTATTGCACAGTCCACAGTAAACCTGTTTTCTAGTGAACACACTATGGATTTCTGCATACTTACTATATTGGAGGAGACCCTTATATTTAAAGACTTCACTTGAGACAATAAAGCAGAGTCAGTAAAATGCATTTCCCTTATGTCCCTTGGAAGGTCAAGCCCCACTGCCCCCAGTTGAATACATCAAAATACAAACTGCCAGGCTTTTGAGCCATTTCATGTCTGATATGCAACTACTTTACTAGCTCTACCACTCAGTGTCCGCCATGACAGATAAGTCACAACTAAAGGTCACATCAAGATTTTTCCTGCCAGATCTGCTCACCTTAAGGGAAAGGCAGAAGATTTGTTTCTCTCTTTGACTGCTTGGTCAGTGTGTCCCACTGTCTGTTTTGCAATGCCTTGTGCTGCCAGCCTACTTTGTCACATGGTTCAGGTTCATGGGGCCAACAAAACGAGCAGGATGCCAAGAAGGAGAGGCAACACTCAGCATTATACAGCTTCACATCAGTGCCGAGGCCTCATGCTAGTAGTGAGATCCAAGCTCAGGGTCTGGTCCCAGCTGCCAGAGCTCTAACTGCAATGAGTCTGAAAAAAGCATTACCATCTGCCAGGGTTGCACTGACAATGGATTTGCAGGTCTGTGTTCACTTTTTGGGGGAGCCATATTTCAGCTCACAACCTGCACCTCACAGAATTCTTCCCTGTTCTTATCACTACTACCTGGGTCAGAAAAGGACAGTTGCTCCTCATGCAAGTGCTGGGGTCCCTCCTCTGCTGCCACAGGAGGCAGTTTTACTCTTCACTGGGCTGAGTTGAAGGAAGAAGTAACTCCAGCCTCCAAAGGAGAACAGGGAAGTCGATGTTCACCCTGGCCTGGCACACGACCCAGACCCAGGAACCCTTTTGGTAGTGGGGGTCCTCTGAAATGTGCACATAAAATTTCTGTCTAGGTAGAATAAGGTCAGATATTTTACAGAATCACAGAATCACCAAGGTTGAAAAAGACCTTCAAGATCATCCAGTCCAACCATCCACCTATCACCAATAGTACTCACTAAACCATGTCCCTCAGCACAACATCCAGACGTTCCTTGAACACCTCCAGGGTGAGCGACTCCACCACCTCCCTGGCAGCCCATTCCAGTGCCTGACCACTCTGTCAGAAAAGTAGTATTTCCTAACGTCCAGCCTAAATCTCCCCTGGCGCAGCTTGAAGCCATTCCCTCTAGTTCTAGCACTACTTACACAAGAGAAGAGGCCGACCCTCAGCTCACTACAACCCCCCTTCAGGTAGTTATAAAGAGCAGTAAGGTCTCCCCTGAGCCTCCTCTTCTCCAGACTGAACAATCCCAGCTCCTTCAGCCGCTCCTCATAAGATCTGTGCTCCAAACCCCTCACCAGCTTTGTTGCCCTTCTTTGAACCCACTCCAGGGCCTCAATGTCTGTCTTGCAATGAGGGGCCCAAAACTGGATGCAGTACTCGAGTTGCGGCCTCACCAGATCAGAGCACAGGGGAATGATAACTTCCCCTGTTCCTGCTGGCAACACCGTTTCTGATGCAAGCCAGGATGCCATTGGCCTTCTTGGCCACCTGGGTACACCGCTGGCTCTTGTTCATGTTTAAGTTTCTACTGACTTGCAACTTCTAATATGGTGGCCAAACTGTTTACAGTCAGTCCAGTACTCTAATAGCTCCAAGAGTCCTCACCTTCCTTTTCCCAACAATCTTTCTGCCTTGCGTAATGGTAGCTCAAGACAGTACAGGCAGCCAGGCCCAGCAATAGGATTAAAGTTTGACTCTGTGTCAGAATATAAGGTGCTCAGAATGAAAAATATTCCTGCAAATTTTTAATTACCTAAGTTAACAAAATTCTTCCAAGCTCAACTCCCATAGGTGACTTTATTGGATTGTTCACTCATGTACATTTGGCTACCATACACACACAGACCAGTCTCATGCAAGAGACAGCTTTGTGACACGCACAGGATGCCAGGCATTGTGAAGCTGCTAGCTCTGCATTTTTAACCATAAAGCAAGTTCTCAGTAAGGAAACTGACAGCATGTGTGTGAAGACGCACACAAATTTTTTTTCACCTGTACAGTAACACCAAGCATCTTAAAAAGCTCAGATGAAATGAAGTATCTCACCGAGTCTCACATGAGAAAACTTCACAATGGCTTCACAATATAGGAATTTTTTTTTCCTCTTCCGCTATCCAGAGACATATTTCACTCTAAAGCATCACTCTGATGCTGCTATGAAGATGAAATTTCTCACAGATGTACACTCATCCCTTCTCATGTCAGAAGCAAGGTTAATACCCTGCACGTCCACTCCTAACCAGTACACGCAAACTGTATCATCTCCCAGATTTGCTAAACACAGGCATATTTTTCCCCCAGGCCTCCTTTACACCAGGCACCATAAGGCAGCACCTCCAGACTGGACTGGAACCCGGGGGATCCCAGAAGCATAGATACGCCGTAAAGGAAATAACTGTTAGGCACTTTACCAAGAGGAATCGGCTCCTCCCTGCCGCCTGCTCACAGCATCGGCTGCCCAGCGCGCACTGCTCCGCCTCCACCAGCAGCGCCCGGGGAGCGCGTGCCGCAGCACGTGGCACGAGGGGTCGGACTGCCGCCTCAGTCTCAGGGCGCGGGATATTAGCATATAAATAGCGCTGATAGAGGCGCCAGCAGCACTGAACCGTGGGTCCATCGGATGGAAATGAGGCGCTATAAATTCTGCTCCTTACTTAAGAGTTTCTATAGGAACAGCCGATGTGGCCTGAAGAAAGGGAGATCTGGTTCTCCCACGACCTGGGGTTTCTCACAGTGGAGAAATGACAGAAACACCTTCGGTAAATATATTTACACACACACAGATTCGTTGCTATTATTATTTCAAAGAGAGTATTTTACCTCTTTTTGGTGCCTCTTTTCTACCAGGGCTGTGGAGGCACCAGAACATGTTCTAACATAACGATCAGGGACAAAAACACTCGAAGTACCTTCGCGTACCTTAATTCTGATCTCAATTACTTCGCGCACAGAGCAACTCCTCCTCAGGGCTCCCCGCAGCCGCGCCTCACCGCTTCCCGCCACCGCAGGCTTCCCTCAGCCGCGAGCAGCGGCGCGGGCTCCGGGCGCGAGGCGGTCCCCGCCTTCAGCTCAGCCTCTGCTGTTTGCCAGAGCGAAGTGTCCTGTCGTAGCCAACCCTTAATAGAAGAGCAAACACACCGCTGCTTTCTCGGCAGTCCGTGAGAGAAAGGAAGCCCTACGCGTATAGCGTTGCCCCGCCTCCCAGGTAGGGCTGTTCTCCGACAAAATACTGTAGTTATCACGACTCCCCGAAGCCGACAAAGAAAAGCACGCAGAGCTGAAGTGCAGTGAGCAGTGCCTAGAACATTCTACGCCCTTCTTAGCACGAAGCAGAGGGGTTCCGTGTGCTCCTCTACACACGAAGCTTGAACAAACCATTTCTCTCATGAGTACAACGTGACCACAGAGACAGATGAAAATCTGAAGAAAAAACATATTTCTCCAGTAAAAAAAAAAAGGTCACATTATAATGAATAGGGCCCAGTACTCAAATTGCCAGAACAATATGGTGTATGAAATAAAACTCAGTACATGTCAGAAACCTTGCAACAAAGTATAAGGGCTTTTATTACATTTTCTAGATTAAATATATTCAGAAGCCTCTTTTTTTAAAACACACAGAAGGAAAAAAATACATTCTTCATGTACATACGAAATACCACATAGCAGGGACCATGTACAGCGCAAAGTATGAACATAGCTACACGAGATATCAACACTGTGGACAATTATCAGGTTTTTTTCCTGCAGTAAAATTTAAGCAATTCAACATTACTGCTTCCAAAGAGAAATGCATGCCCTTCACTTCCATGTTATTTTGTGGGATCATGCAGGGAAGTTTGTTTTTTTTTTTAAACTTTTTAAAGGTATTATAGAAATCCTTGGATCACATGAAAAATTATCGAACTCTACAACTTTACTTCTTTCACACATTCACGATTAGAGTACAGTTGTTTTTTTTTTTTCTTTCATAATGATTGCAGCCCAACTCCAAAAATCCAGGGAAAAAAATAAATAGAACCTGATAAAGTAATCAATCAGACTGATTGTTGTAGTGTCCAGGAAACAGGTACCCACACACGCACATACATACAAAGAAGGTGGAAGATGGTAAGATGTGACTGAACATCTCTTATTTATTAGGGGTCCAGAGCAAGAGCACTGGGTTGCTTGTGTCACATCAGCAGTGAATCTCTAGCATCGCTCAGTATGGGATGTCATTCTGGTAGTACTGAATCATATCGTAGGTCCTACTCCTAGAGAAGAAAAGCAAAGCCGGAGGTAAATGATAGTTAAGGAAAAACCAAAACACTGCAACCACTGTCAGAAAAACAACCATCAAGATCCCACAGAAATAAATTATGGCTGAAGCACAAGAACTCTATGTTTTTGCTGCACTGTTCTGCCAACTTATGGGTTCACCTTTCCTTTAACTATAGAGAGAAGACATACATAAATGCCAAACCTATTGCTGAGGAAACAATTCTGGATGATCTTGATGATGAAAGTTGCAGCCTCCCGTTCAGTCATGTTGGGGCTGAATCTGTGTCTATATAGGAAAAAAACAAAAAAACAGGAGTACAAATTAGTGAGGTTTCTTTTAAGCATGACACAAATGTGTTTCTGCAAAAGCTTAGCCCCATGTTGATATCACTTGTTGCAAGTACATAGTTCCTTCAAGACAACATGTACATAATAGTAATATTTTAAAAGTACTTGTCTTTATTCTTACAGTGGAGACTGAGGCTGCGAGCTTTTGACCAGTTGAGTGGTAACATAACAGCGGGTCTCTCTTTCTAGACAGCCACTGTTTCTAAAATACCTTAGTACCTAGCAATGACTGTGAGTTCCAGCCCATTATACTTCATGAATTTGTGTTTAATTTTAGGAAAATGTAGTTAAGTTATATACAGGAAATACTGACTGCAGAACTATTCCAGAAGCATTAGCCTGAAGGGCTGTTTAAAATATATAATGTGTTTGCATGCCGCTCCTCAGATTTCAACACCACTTTAGACAGAACACATTACCTCTCATTAAAGCAGATTTTTCCTTTACGGTCTTGCTTTGGTAGCACTTAGAACTTTAAAATAAAACATGTACTCACATAGTCACGTAATATTTTGATCCAAATCATATGAAAAGGCCTCTGAAAATCCTGCTTTCTGAGATATCTCCAAAAAAATCTTACATTTCTATAACACTGAGAAATGTAAGATATTTGAGTAGCATGACAACAACACTTGCTGCAGAAATTGTGACAATATACACACTCCGAAGAGCAAGCATTATGAACATTTTCCAGTTCATATACATGCTAACTTACTTTAAAAGCTTGATTGTCTGCCCTCGGAAACATGGCAGCCCTGTATCCAGCATTAATGTAACAAGTGAGACTACAGCATCCATGTAAGGCCTAGAATAAAAAAAGAGGACAAAAAGGTTACAGCACTTGAACTTCTGCAGCTTTAGTAGGTAAAGCAGGCAGGTTGAGAAGACTGAAGCTGGACTACGCTTTTTTTCTGTAATTAAAACAATACATGTAATCCTCTCACATTTGTTGTCAGAGCTACATCATTGCCTGTGATCTCTTACTTTAATTAAATTTCATTCCTTTATGCTGGACTATCAGAGATTTAAAATGCTGCAAGATGAGGAGCCCTCAAAAGAGATTATATAAAGCAATACTTTGGGAAATAATACTATTTTGGCAACAGAAAGGTCGACCAGTGCATTAAAAGTGATACTATAGTAATTAGGAATTAGAAGATAATCGTTACTCTACTACATAATTGTCTGCTACATCAGCCCAGCTTCCCTTCTTCCTCCTCTTTTCCCACTCAGAGGAGCTCCCACTAAATCTATCACTACTCTGCTACTTGGGTGACATTTCTGGCTTGACATAAATCTCCCTAGATTGCACCATTTCAAGGAAGCAAATTGTGCTCAACTCCAAGACAGCCCCTTCCAGGGCTACTTGCTGAGTAAACTAATTCTGTAAGATAACAATAATATTTCACACTGATGATGATAGAACAATCCCTTATCTTGGCTCTGTCATACTGTCCTCCTAACCATATGCAACATCCACATCCATTTACTACTCATTCTCCATGTAAAAGCAAAACTTGCGATGCCAAGTGGGAGCCCAAGCGAGAGCAGCCACAGGAACTTCTTGTGGCCTACAAGCATTCATACTGGACCCTCAGCTCCTCGTCATCTTCCTCCTCTTTGTCCTCCTCCTATGATTCTTGTTTGCTTGATGTAAAGCATAGTAAAGATCTCTAATGCTACTGGCTGGCAATCACTGCTGAAAAGCATAGCTACAAAATCTCTAATATTTTACAAGAGAAATAGTAATGCTTTTTCCACATAATTAACTTTAGCTGAAATGGTGATTAATATCATTGTCTCAGTTGGGAAAAAAGGTTATGATTCTCCTGTAGCTTCTTGTTGCAAAGTTTTAATTAGCAACATGCTAAATTGAAGAAAGATGATGATCACATTTATAAATTGAATATAATATATAATCTTCTCAAATTGTCACGGTCATGAGATCAGAAAAAAATCACAAAGTTAGGCTGCAAAATTTGTTTCATGCACTAGTTTGACAGACTCAGACCCTCTACAGAGTACAGAGTACTGTTTATTATTATTTAACATTCCATCTGGTTTTTGTTGTGCAAGCACTTCCACTTTTAAGCAGTTAATAATGTTTTACCTGACTGCCAAATAGCCTCTGACACACATCTCCATAAACCATTTGAATGGAGTTGCTTCCATTTTTCCTCCCATTATCATCACCATCTCATCAGTCAGCTTAATGTCGGGCTCCCAACCCAGATTACCACCAGGTGAGCTCTCAAACATGAATCCAAAATCTGCACACAAAAGATAAGCTGCTTCAGACATTCTGGTGGTTAGTTGTGCTTTCTTCTGTCAAAGCTGACAGAAGAAAGGAGGTGCATTTCACATCATAATATCTATTTTCCTACCAGCATTTCAATTCCAAATGGAAAAAAAGCTTTGATAAAGTGTAAAAACAAAAGAATTATTTAACATTAAACAATACTCAAGGATGATGACATCAGATAAACAGGGCTAAAACATCTGCAGTTCTAAAAAAGCAAAGCTAAAGCAGACATTACAGCCTTATGCAATTATATGAATTTACTCATCAGGTTTAGTTCACACCCAAGCAGGAAAGAAATATGTATATGTATTCATACATCCATACACATTTATATACGCTTGTATACGTATGAATACATATATAAATATACATACATAATCCACATATGTATATTCCTTCCCAAAGCTGGTAAAACCTTGTAAAACTGAAATTATGCAGAAGCAGCTAACACAAGCACACACACAATACTAAACTGGCAAGAAAAACGTCCCATATGTATTTAAAAGTTGAAATCTGATTAATCTCAAATTGAAATTCTATTAGCAGTATTTTACAGCAGAAGGAAAAGATAACTATGACTGACCAATGTGAATGATGTGTCCCTTTTTGTCCAGCATGATGTTGCCATTATGCCTGTCTTTAATTTGGAGCAGAAAAAGGAGAAGACTATACGCAGCCATACTGCGGATGAAATTATAGCGAGCCTGTACAAGCAAGAAGTCAAAGCAAATAAGAACACATAATTTAATAACTCACTCATCCCAGAAGCAGATACGGCTGAACATTCTTTTTCATCCATTAATGATTAGTTTGAATTTATGTTCAATAATATTCTCCACATAGCTACAGCTGCAGTAATTTCTTTAGCTAGCTTACTCATAGCTAAAAATGAATTATCTACATCAGAAGCCAGGTACACCATTAAAGTAGTAACTATCTAGTTATTTGTCATTATTTCTTATGGCTAGAACATCACTCAGTTGAAACTGTACTATATCTGCAAACTATTATTTTACCTTCTGGAATGCAAGAGTAGACTCATCTCCATATTGCCTTGTAAAGTAATCGTACATCCCAAAGTCTGTCTGCCTGCCCAGCTGGTCACGGGACGTACAGTCAGGAATGCATTCAATAACACCACACTGAAAGGGAAGAAGAGAAACAGGTCTGTACAGCATACTCCCAACATACATTTTCTACGTGGCTCTCGGCAGTCAGAGGTCTCCCAAGAGATCTGGGAAAGACTGCACATCACCAAATACAGAATTTCTAGTATGTTCATTAAGAAAAACTACATCCAACGTTTGAGAATTTCCATGCAACATAAGACACAAACAATTTATGACTTTCCATAGACTTGCACAATGCTGTCCCAAAAACCAAACAAACATGAATAACCAAAAGCAGTAAAATTTCTGACCAAAAGCTTTAGAAAAGAAGAAAGTAGGAGAAGAATGACTGTGTCAATGGTACTCCAAGTATTTGGCGTGATGTGCACAGTACTTCTTTGCAGAAATGTTAACTTATATGTGCAGGAAAAGATTTTTTTGTTTTGTTTTTAAATTAGGAACTACTTTCTACAGCAGTAAACTGCTCACTTACCCCAGGAGCTGTGGCCACCACTCTATATGGAAACACAAAAAGATCCAAGCCTACCAGCTGAAATATATTCTTGAAGAGATCAATGATTTGTAAAGCTAACATGTCCTGTTATGTAAGAAAAAAATCGCACAAGCATTACAGGGGTTACAGATCATAAGTCAGATGACAGAAATGCTCTGAAGAACTCCAGAGTGAACGTAAGTTTCCCCAGAAGGTTGTACATACACTGTGGCTTTGGGGAAAATCAAAAAAGGAGAAGATGCTCAAATGGGTAGCAAACAAAATCAAAGATTTAACTGCTGACATTTAAACCTTTCTATATCATTCTCTGATTAAGAGGGATACGAATAACTTCAGAGATAATAGCTAGCATTCTCCTTTAATCAAAAAGGACCAAGCTTCAATGTACAAGATAGTACAAAGTATCACCTTGGAAATTACTCTGACATTACCAACTGTTCAATTGAAAAATGAAGTCTAAAAAAGATTTTTACGTCATGGCATTACACGAACTATCTTGTAAGAACGACATTTGTATCCAAGTCAAATTTTCCAGAATAGTATATCACAATTCTCTCCCCTAGTCCATACCTGGTAGGGATTCTCAAAATTCCAAAGAAGAAACATTTCCAAGCTAAAATTATTTCCTTATTTTATATTGTCACCTACAAATTTGTTTTATATAACTGCATAGTAGCTTTGTACCTGTCTGCAGTCATCACCCACTTTAAAGATAGCTGCTTGCCAACAGATTTTCTTACTGTCCACTCCTTCTTCTGCACTTTCATCTATGGAATCAGAACGACATCGCAGACCTGCACAAAGAGTAAAAAGCAAAACCCAGATGCACACTTCAGTTAGTATTTTTCATACCATGACAAGCACCCTACATTCAAAACCACATTTCACACTGAAGTACTTCTGCTTTGCAAGATGAATTTCATAAGGCAGTTTCCTTTCTGTATTAGAGTTGGAACATATACATCAAAAATTATCTTCATGATCTACTTGATAAATGCCCAAATTACATTAAGCTAGTCACTTAGATTATCCTGTAAAAGACCACAGAAAAGCAATTAATTTATATGTTAGTCTAAAGTAACCATACACATTTTTTCAGGATATTTCTGTGGCATGCTTCCAGGGACTGAAAAAAAAAAAAGAAAAACAGAAAAAAACAGAACTTAAGTTTTCAAAAAATTTTCTTCTCTTTCCATTGTATGCATTTTTATTTTTGAGCTGAGCCACTGCAGATAAAGTTCAATATGGAAGTGTTTCTTTAATGCAGCAGCACAGGTCACTAAAAGCAGGCAATTTTAAAGAAAGTGCTGACTCTTACTTAGTAGCATCAGTGATTAAAACCCATTTACTAACCTTCTTTTTCAAGCTCACTAACTCCACATCGTTTCACTTTAAATTTGGCCAGGTAGGGTGCTTTTGCTGCACTACATTGTAATAAATAAAAAGATGATGAGTGCAAGTTAGCCAAATGAGGATTTATAGAAAAACTAAATATCATGAATTAACTTAATGGAAGAATACAAGAGCACACTACCTCTGCATAGGAGTTCCTGATTTGTAATCAATGTCCAGAACAATAGCTTCAGGATTGCTGGGCAAGTAGCAGCCTGCAAAATGGAGCAGAGAACAAAGAAAAGATTTATTGGCCAGTGTGACAATGATACTTGGAGAACAACTGTTCTTATTGTCTACAGCTTCACTACATACTTTTGAATCAAATGAATGCTAGAGATGATAAACTGGAGGATACGGTTTGTATGTCACAAAGAATGCAGTACCCTTCCCATTGGTCAAAGTTTAATGGAATATAATTTTGAACTAATACTGCAGAATCTTTACCATAGAAATGTATAGATAGGACTTCTCTTACAAGAGTTTCTAGCAAGATTTAGCTGCATATTCCAGTGCACTTTTAGCAAAAGAAAAACGGTAGGAGAACTGAAACCTATCAGACAGAGGTCAAAGTGCATTTTAAAAAGAAGATTCAGATGGGGAAAATATGTTTAAAATATATGTCTATGTATGTGTGTGTACACACACACAAATAAAAGGACCTTGAGATAGTCATGTTTCAAGGGCATGTCTGAAGCAAGAAAAACAATAACGAAGGCAACTGGACATGTTTTATTCTTGAGATAAATTCTTTAAGATATTTAATCTCTTTTAATAAAAGGTGGTCCAAAAGAAAACTGTTTACTTCCCCTCTTTAGATATACTTTGCTGTTTTTACCTGTGTTACCTAATTTGACTGTAAGCACTGTGGGGAAAGCTTTGGTGCACAATATAGAAATTAACAGCTGGTAAAAATATTCAAATTGATTCAAGAGAAACAATCCAACTGTAAGACGAACAGCTACTTTGTCACCAGCACCAGAACTTGCCAGACATTTAGCATTTGCTTACAGAAAATTTCGCACTGACACTGAATGCAAGACGACCACTACATTATATGATGAAATCACTTCTTACCAGGCTGCACTTTCACCTCAGACAGAGCACTCAAACAAGCTTTTTTTCTTTCATCTCCTTTAGGAAACGGCCTAGAAAGATTAATAATATTTTATATAACTATATTCTATATTCTAGTGTGTACTTCCCTGGTGTTTTGTTTCAAATTTATACAATGACAAAAATGTCTTACTGCACCACTGTCTTATTGAAGACCTTGTTTTGTAGATATAACATTAACTGGAGTATAGGTAGCTGTCAAATCCAAACACCATAAGAGCAGTGAATTAAATATGAAGACACTTCCTTGCAGAGAAGTTTGCACATAAAGTACGCTTTTGTCAACAGTGCTATAGTTCTGCCAATATCATTCTCCTTTGTGGAACTTACACCAGAATAAGAACGCTGCTTTGGAAGTGGTATAAGCTAACTGAAAAAGGACAAGCCAACAAAATATCTATGCAATTACACACCTAATTTGTTCACATACTTTGCATGACTGCAGGTGTCAACTGGATAATTGGTAACATGGTTAACAATTAGTTACATGCAATTACCCAATTTGCACAGGCACTTGTGTTAACCATCTACTGAAGTCAGCCATGCAATTGCACACATTTGGTGTAGCACCACGGAACTGAAAGTTATTACTTATGCTCTAATTTTAAGCAGTACAGTAGATCATTGAAGCAGCAACATAACACTTACATAATCATAGATTATAAATTTACTCATTTATGCCATCTACAAAGCAAACAGCATTTCCTCTCTGTTGTCTTTACATAGGAAATGCATAAAACGTCTTTTTTTTTTTTTTTAAGTACCTGAGGTGCAAAATGAAATGCTTGCAAATACAGTTATTAACAGTTGCTTAATTATGATTCCATGCTAACAAAATATCATCCTAAATATCATCCTAAATATCAAGGTATTCATGCCCAAGAGCCCTCTTTTAACTCATCCTGCTGGGTGAAAGACATAGTATTTGATAAGTTTCCGTGAAGCAAGTGTCCTTTAACCTGATGCCTTTATACTGCTGGTTTGCAAAGCTTCATTTTAAAGGAGGTATGTTCTAAGAAATATATATTATATGACTTTTAAATATTTTAACACTTGAGAATGTTCTGAAAATATGCAATAAAACCACACGTACTAATTTTAGAGCTTGTGTGCTGGGCTGCTGTCACCCACTGGCAAGATTTATAGAAGTTAAATTGAGTATCTTGCAGTCAGCAGTGAGAATCTCCATAAGCAAGACTTTCACTTTTAAAGATCAACAATCTGCTTACTTTGACAGTGCATCTTTCTCTCTAACCACAATTTAGGTACAAAGGGAAAATACTTATGTATAAAAAAAGATAAAAGAGATTATGTGGCATTTTACCACATAATGAGATCTCCTTGTAAAGAGGAAAAGTGCCACCCAGTTTTAACAGAAGGTAAGTTATTTACCAGTACTTCAGGTGTTTTTTTGTTGATTGAGTTTTCTTCATGTTTCATATCCACCCAAGAAGTGGTAACATGTTACAATATGCAGAAAAAATGACAGCCAACCTGCCACACTTAAATGCAGGAGTACTGCTTTTCCTGAACCAAACTTTTCAGGAGAATGCTAAGTGCTTTACCAAGCCAAATTAACAATGTTGGTGACAAGACTGATAGAATTTCAACCTATATAAGAGCATGCATTGTTTTTCCAATTCCAATCACATATTGGAGCACTCTTCTATGGAACTTCATTTCACTATTAGTAACCACAACGTATTTATAAAATCAAATTAAATCTGAAGTTTACAATCATCTGCTTCCAGAATAAGAAGCAACAGCTGGTTAAGACAGATCTGCTAATTTCAAGCACAGAGATTAGGCCAGATATAAATTATCTCTGAGAATCAAAGTAAAATGAGACCTTTCATTCTACTATGACTGTTAAGTTACACTTAAGAAAGGAAAAATCATCATCTTATCATAAAAGTAATTAATTCTCTTTCACAAAAGACACTATTTCAATATGACTAAAAGCAACTTAGCCTATTAACTATGACAATTTCCAGAAGTGCACCCCCAAAAAACCACAATTTCTGTAGTGTAACACTTACTTGATAATGGCTGAAACATTAGTGATTTTATTAAAGAAATCAAATTCCCGCTGGTAGAATTCCTTAGCTGGGCCAGATAATGAGCCAGTTATCTCCTCTACGAGCTGCTCCAGAAGTTCCCCAATGTCAGCTGCACATGAAAAAGAAAACATCTGTGTTAGAAGCTTATTTCAGAAAGCTAAGTGATACATGTGATGGGTACAAAAAAAGTAGCAATGCAAACATTGCTGCATCTCTTCTGTCAGGTAGAGTACTTCAACAGAATGTGCCCTCTCTCTACAAACTAAAGAAGTTTCCAGCTAAAAGGATTCTCTCCTGTCAGGAGAAAGCAAGAAGGAGATTCAGCCTGAACTGTGGCAAGAAAGGAGCTAAACTATACTATATTTCAAAGAACTCACGATCTTTTTGGTGTCCTTCTTCATCAAGGTAGATATTAGTTTTCATGTTCCAGATGAATTGGTGAGCCAAGAGCTGGGATTTGGCAGCTGCCCACAAGATGTATTCTCTAACGTAACCCATCTGCAATTATAGCCAGTCCAATAAGAAAAGATCATTACAAATCAAGCAGACTCAATATTACTCCTAATAACAGTGATTCTTAAAAGTCAAAAGTTTTTAACGCATGAAAAGACGACTGCTGCAATCTCACTCATGTTGCTAAAAGGCCTCTGAAGAATGACAGTGTACTCTAAAAGGTAAGGAATTGACCTAACATGTTTTAGCTTTACTACTGACATATTCCATCACTAGCTTTGCACATCTGTGCCATTTTCTCTATGTTCTACATGGTTTTCAAATCTCTTTAAAATCTGGGTAGCTCATACTACATATACAAACCAGAGGAAATGCAGTGGAAACACTGGTATTGCCTGGCACCACTAAATGCTCCTGTATTATCAGAAATGCATGTGCTATCTTATAGACTGCACATTTGGTGTAAAGAACTAAGCGCTTGCACAGTTCCACAGAAATTTTCTAGGCAATAAGAACAAACTTAAAAAAGAAGTTGAAGTGTACAGATGAATTCTACTCATCCCAGGGACGGCATAAAAGAGGTGCATCCAAAGCAAGCCAGCCTCTAGAGGCGTTTGTCTTTTATGTATTAGATATACCATAATAATAAGCAGCACTATTTTAACCTTAAATTTAGTCTGTTTGGCAGTTTTAAGTCTGAAAGCCATTATTCAAAGTTTGCTTGGTTCATGCACAGCTGTTTCATATCCTCACCTTATCATACCGCAGTGCCTGCACAATCTGTGGAATGTAGAATAAAATGGCATCCTGAAAAGATGTCAGAGTTTTTATTGTTATTGTTTTAGTACTCAAGAGGAGAAGACAGGTCACACGCACAGTGAAAAGTTTCCTTCAGTTATGTGATAGAATAAAATTGCAAATACCGCCCCCTCTTTATTTTAAACTGCATATATGCCCTCTCCTTTAATACAAGCATTTTTCTGCCCCGTCCAACTTCAAAAATATTAACAATAATGTATTTTATAGTCCTCATGCAAGTCTGACTAGTATTAAAAGTTCTCTGCTGAAAGGAGAATTTGGTAGTATTTAAGGGGAACACTGAAGAATTCAAGTAGGTGCAATTTATGACAAAATAATTACCAGGTACACAAGCCAGTATTATGCTGAACAATCAACTTTAAGTTTTCATCCCAGTCTCTTCATGTCCTCCAACAAGGTGAGCCCATTCTGCATACATGTCTTTCCACAGTACTAAAATGAAGCCTGTGGCAACAACGACTACGGCTGCAACTATACCAAAACTCACCGGAGGAAAAGACCGCAGGACTTTAACTCCATACTGAGCTGTTAGAGGATGAGGTGGATACATGCTTGAAAAATAGGAAAGGCCAGTTGGTGGATCCGTTGGTGCCCAGCACAGAACATGACTGAGCTCAGGTGCATCAGCATCAATTGTGTGCCAGGTAACCAGGTACTGAAAAAACAGGTCAGACCACATTAGGAGCTTACAGCACCCAGCAATATCTAGGAAATGCACATCAGGTGGTAATGCTATAATCTAGCTTATTAAAGCAGGGCAAAAAAAAACATGCTATATTTTATTTGACGGAACCACAGCTATTTTATATCCTTTGGAAATCTAACTATTGGAATCATTCCACTTTCTAGATCACTGCATGAAGTTAATGACGTCAAATTACTAAAAGCACGGTAGAGAAGTATGGGAAAAAATAAGAACAGATGAGTAAAAAAAGGTGCAGTTATCTTGTCTGTTTTAGAGGTGATGTACAGAATGCTTTACTGCAGATGAACATAACAAGCCTCTTCTGTTTTAAGAGGCTTGGCATCTCAAGAGAGCGGGTTAAGCTTAAAATAACTTCAGCAGCAGTGCTCACCATAACTTGGTCCTATAGTCTTTCTATGCATTATTCAAAAGGAGCAGAAATAGTAGGTGTACTGCAATTTATGAGTTCTGAGATATTCCACGTATAGTGAGAGCACATCTGGGAGCAAGCGAGCACTAACTTGCCACCTACTTTTATTCCTGTGATTTTTGCCTCAGCATCTTATTTCCACAGCTGTTTTGTCATTCTCTCCTACAGAAATATGCTTAGCATTAGAACATACACTGTTCATACACTACAGCTAAGGCTGTATTTCCAGTATAACTGAACTAAATAGCCACTCTGGGGCCCTGTACATAAATATTCACTAGTACCTTTATTGCTTCAGGAACATCACTAACAGCTCCTGGGTCCAACCGAACCAGACGAGTTACTTCTGTTCCAATAGCTTCAGTGTTCTTAAATCTATGTATAATCAGGAATACAATAACCTTATCATAAAACTTTGAAAGCCTCTTTTATTTACATCAAGATGAAAGCAGCAAAGGGCAGGAAAGTAAATGCTTAATAAACAAATAGTCCAACCATCAAACAATGCACATTGAGGGAAGAATATGTTGTCAAAGAGAGGATTCAGGTTCAGGAACAACTGGTCCTCATCCAGTGCTTTTGTACTAATGCCTAGCATTTTGGCCCATTATTGAGTTATTGGTTGAAATATAATGTCTGAGATTCTACAGAAAGCTTCATACATACTACTGCTGTTTTGCAAAAGCTATCACTGTTGTAAGGAGGAAAGAATTTCCTTTCCCTTTCAAAGCCAACTATGCTAATTCTCCTAGCATACTTTTTGAAGTACAAGCCAATATACAGTTAGAACACTTCATTCAAAGATACTTTTAGAACTGCTTAAATGTTATGCCTGCTAATGGTTTAAACACTATTAAAAAAAATGAACATAATTTCTGCTGAACAAAATACTGTCTACATGTTAGCATCAAACAGATGGAAGGGATGGAAATTGGACTCCGCTAGATATTGAGCCAAGTTAATATATTTTTAAGTAATCCACTTTTTTTTTTTATTTCAGAAGTCTCAACCAGCTATGGAAGTATGCAAGGAGGCTGTAAGCAGGAGCAAGTACCATCCATACTTGTTGAGTGAGTACAGGCACAATTTCTAAGAAAGGCAGCAGGAATTACATCAGCTTTTCCTTTTGAAATTTCTCACCGGGTAGGCAGCTGTACAGCAAGGTGAGGAGAGATGCTCCAAGCGAGATTCACATTATCCTTCCATTGCTTCTCACTAAGACTGATATACTTCGATCTCCAGTTTGCCACACTGCTCTCCCCAGTTTGATCCAACTCTAATTCAGGGGAGGAGAGTGGATTGTACCATGTGATTAAGCGTTCAATTTCAGTAGCCTGAGGGAAACAAGGAAAAAAATACATATTCTCTGGAAGAAAAATACTTCTACTTTACTCTCTCATGGTACTTTAGTCAATACATCATCCAAAAACAACTGTCTTCAAAACTCATACTGCTTCCCTACAAACTCACCAGCAATGAGAGCAGTAACGTCCTTCGCTTCATGTAGTACTTGTGTAGCTGCGTACCTCTGTTAGTCTTCTTAGACATTCCTCAAATAAAGGTTAAAAACGTTTTCAGTGTTTTTTATTCAGTATGTTTAAGTCTATTTTTAAACTGTCCACACCTGGCAACTTCCACATTTAAGAACTGAATCACCATAGGACAACTGTAAATTTACATTTGAATGATCTCAGAAAGTCAGCAATGCAGCTACTCATGGTGCTTGCTCCAAGTGGCATAATTTGAGTTTGTTGTTGTTGTTTTTTACCCCTCCACAATTTGGCATTGATAATCAAATACCTCGCCAGGAGAACGCTAGCCTAATGTTGAATATTGCCTGTAGACAATCAACATAAAATATACTGCAAAGTTGGGTATAATCAGCTGGTTACAATTAAAAATATACCTGATTTTTTAGATATGGTTGACATGCCACTGGACAGAGGGTAGGTATTTATCCATCCTTGCGTAGCCTGCTGCCGAGACCCAACATTGATGTCCAGGTTGCTCCTGGTGTCTTGATTATCTAACAACAGAACACAGATCTGATATAGAATGCAATCAAATGAAAAAAAAAAAAAGGGCTTTTGAAACTGCAGATGAAGGATCTCACCAGGTGGCACAAGCTGGCTTGCTGTGAGATACTTTTTGTCTGAGAACATTGCTGTCCAAAACTTGATCAATATGGTGATGTCCTCACGAAGCCTCTTTTCCCCCTGCGTAGGGAACTTCGATGGCCAACTCAAGAAAATCATACAAAGAATGTTGAATGTATTAAAAAAAGCAAACAAAAGCAAAAAAACAAGATCTTTTTTTTCCTCCTTTTGACCACAGTCTAAAAGAGATGAGACCAAACATTATACTGTATTTTATTCTTATTTCTTCATTCTGTCTGCCTGAAGCTTTCCATTATAATTGAAAATTAAGGCGGTAGCCTGTCAGCATCTTGGATTCACTTGAAATTTAATATTATGATTTAATATGGTTCCCTCGCATTGTCACACACTCCCATTACTACATTATGTTCTGCTGTGTTCATGTCAGATCTTGGAATCAAATTCAGTGTGGTTGTACTCTCAAAATGATTTCTGAAAACAGTATTTCAGCCACATGTTCTGTAATAGCAGTTCTTTACATCTTACATCTAGGTACAGTTTTGAGCACTGAATGAACTCCAAAAAAAGAACAAAGAAAACAAGTGCAACATTCCTGAAGATAATACATTATAAACTGCATATAAAAAAAAATTGAAATTCTATCTAAAAATCATCAAGATGGTTTATGAACCACAAAGAATCACAAACAAAAGCCTTTGTTAGAATGAACAAAAAAAGGAAAGGAAGTTAAATTGCTAGAGAAAAACAGCTTGTTCTTTGAACTGTTAGGAAATGTTACACATGCACTTTCAGTATGAGACAGTACCTGAAATAATCAAAGGCAGTTGAATAAATCTTCTCTCTCAAAACATTTCGAATAGTTGCATTTGGAACCACATCAGCATGCAGCAAAGACAACCCCAATGTCAGCAACCTAATACATTTAAGAGAATGAAAACCTTGCTGTTCCTAAAACAATGACTAATGCAACACCATACAAACAATACTTAAAGCAACACTATACTACAATTCCATTCAACTTGTTGAAAAGTGCCTGTTTCAAAGCTCTTGGAACATTCTTTTATCATCAGCCTGTTCCTAAAGCTGTGATGACTGAACCATAGAAAGTTGAAGCCTTCAAGTCATAGAAGAGAAACTGATTGATAGAGCAGAATTATTGCTAACTGATACACAGAATTGATTCCTGATGTCAATGATTCACTATATAAAATTATCTCATAAGGTTTTTCTGAAGCAGAGCTGACTTTACTTTGAAAGTTAATACTTCTACTTTGAAAACAGAGCTTCAACTCTGCATAATTCCAGGCTTTTAAAACAATTTCCACCACTTGAAGCCAATGACAAAATAAACATTTAACGTTTAGTTATTTTGTCCTACATCTCATAACCATGCTACTGCCACCAAGGAAAAGAAACCGTGCTCACTTGAAACGGGGTCCAATTGCTGCCACATGCCGATTCAAACTGCCCTTTGCCCCTCCAATGTTCAAGGAAAGAGATCGCTGGAGCAGGCTGGAGAAGATCTCTATCTGGTCAGAACTGCAGTACTTGGCTATTTCAAATCTCTGCACCAGAAACTGAGAAAGAGACATAGACGCTATGCATCCTTTAATTTTATTTTCAATCTCAGAATCAAACAAACCAGTCTCTTCTGTTTCAGACACTTTCATAATCACCACGCTCCTGTAAAAAGAGCATACCTCTGAGCTTTGAGACAGAGGGACTACCATCATGACTCCACTATCTTTTCAAATCACAAGAACAAACAGCACAGAATAGCTTAATCATAGCACTATTCCAAAATCACCATAGGGGGAACATTTCAGAAATACACACCTCTATCCAGATGTAATGTGGGGTGACTTCTGGCGGACAAGGTCTTGGCTGGCTTTCCTCTGAGGCTGCTAATGGATCTGCTTCTTTCTGCTCAGCAGAAAACAGGCCAACTTTCTGCTCCACTGTCATTTGCCAGGCTCCTGCCATTTCCCGCATGAACTACAAAAGCAAGATCGTAAGATTTCCTGTTTGAAGAGCATCTTCTTGTATGGAAAGTGCAATATTTCTCCACAAGGTACACAACGAGAAAAAAAAGACTCCTCCTGTTCTGAAGTTCTGTTAATAACAGAAATACCAAGGGCAACAGCAGACAAGTGCTGTATTTCATTGAAGATGCCAAACTATCAGTAGCACATGGTGTTACTACATCCTGCTACAGGATTATAACTGTAACAAGCCTATTTTTTATTGCGAGGGAATAATGTCAAATACCACAGGCACCAAATGATGAGCAGAGATATTAATGACTGTTTTAAAATATCATACTATAAATTGCAGTAGTTCAAGATCTAATTCATGAGAAGCACAGGTACCTCAAGCAGCAAAGTAAGTTGTACAGCTGAGATCCTAACAGCCTTTATTTGCTTTATCATTCCTGCTGCTAAGAAGCATCCATTTCCCACAGTCCACATAGTGAGGGTGTTCAGATTCCCAACAATACATCAAGAGAAACTTCCTGGCAGGTTAAAATGATTAACAACGCATTTACTATTCTTATTTTACATGGATTCACAACAACTGTGAATCTCTCCATATATTCTTCTTTCCCTTCCCTCTTGCAGTGACAGAGAAAGAGTAATTAAATTGCTTCTTACCGGCACTTCTATTCCATTCTTGGCAGCAAGCAGCCACTCCCAGCAAGCAATTGCTGTTTCCATACCATGTTCATTGAACATCTGCAAAGGTCCCCAGCACAGATGATGAAGGAGCTGGGGATCACAATCTGAAAGCAAACATTCAAACAGATTTCCACAGCAGAATAAAGACGAGCATAATCAGCATAAAAACAGCTAATAAGAAGGTTCTAGTTTAAGAGCATTTTCCCCAATACAAACACAGTTTCACTTCAAGCTGATGCATACAGAGTTAGTATGGAGATACCTTCTGTCCTTACTATATATGGCATTCACATCCAGAATGCAGAAGCCCACTTGGTTTTCATTACCTTTGCTGCTTATTAATAGTGCAGTCAACTTAAACATGGCCTGCGTGTAGAATTCAGTCTGGCCTGATTCAAGAGCATTGTTCAGCTCTTTGACCATCAGTTTATTCAGGTCAGATGTTCGTCCTGTAGCATTTGAGAACTGAATCATTCCAGAAACCTGAAAAATACAATGAGGCTTTAAACGAAGAACAATATTTCTAGTCTAGTTTGGTACTGGTCGTGTGCTGAGTAAGGAAACTCAACACAAACAGATCTCTTTTATTTGTATTTTGCCAATGCACCTTAGTTTTGCCTGTAATTTAAGAATTTCATACAAGATGAAGTGGCCTTCTATGATGGAGTGATGGCATTGGTGGACAAGGGAAAGGCGACTGATATCATTTACCTGGACTCAAGCAAGGCCTTCAACATGGTCCCCCACCACATCCTTATCTCCAAACTAACGGGATATGAATTTGATGGGTGGACCACTCAATGGATAAGAAATAGGTACAAAGGCCACAGATAGAGGGTGGTAATTAATGATTCTATGTCCAGGTGGAGGCCAGTAACAAGCAGCATCCCCCAGGGGTCTGTCTTGGCACTGGTGCTTTTTAGCATCTTTATCAATGACACTGACAATGAAATCAAGTGCACCCTCAGCAAGTTTGCTGACGACACCAAGCTGAGTGGTGCGGTAGACACGGTTGAAGGAAGGGATGCCATTCAGAGGGACCTCAACAGGCTTGAAAGGTGGGCCCGGGTGAACCTGATGAGGTTCAACATGGCTAAGTGCAGAGTTTTGCACTTGGGCCGGAGGAATCCCAGGCATCCATACAGACTGGAAGGAGCAGTCCTTGAGAGCAGCCCTGTGGAGAAGGACCTGGGTGGTCTTGATGGATGAAAGCTTAACGTGAGCCAGCAGTGTGCTTTTACAGCTCTGAAAGCAAATGGTATCCTGGGCTCCATCAGAAGAGGGGTGGCCAGCAGGGACAGGGAGGTGACTGTCCCCCTCTACTTGGCTCTTGTGAGGCCCCATCTGCAGCACTGCATCCAAGTTTGGACCCCCCAGTACAAGAAAACAGGGAGCTGTTGGAGAGGGTCCAGAGGAGGGCCACAAAGATGACAAGAGACTGGAGCACCTCCACTATGAAGACAGGCTGAGGGAGCTGGGCTTGTTCAGCGTGGAGAAGAGAAGGCTGCAGGGTGACCTAACTGCAGCCTTTCAGTACCTAAAGGGAGCCTATAAACAGGAGGGAGAATCAACTTTTTGAAAGGGTAAATAACAACAGGACAAGGGGAAATGGTCTGAAGTTGAGGGAGGGAAGATTTAGGTTGGATGTCAGGGGGAAGTTCTTTGCTATGAGAGGGGTGAGATGCTGGCACAGGCTGCCCAATGAGGCTGTGGATGCCCCGTCCCTAGAAGTGTTCAAGGCCAGATTGGATGGAGCCCTGGGCAGCTTGGTCTAGTATTAAATGGGGAGGTTGGTAGTCCTGCATGTGGCAGGGGGGTTGGAGATTCATGATCCTTGAGGTCCCTTTCAACCCTGGCCATTCTGTGATCAACAGCAAAAGAGCTGCTTAATAACCTAGCAAAATTATACTCTTCTGTCTTGAAGGAATTTAACTTTAGAGTCCATGCTTAAAAGAACATAAAATCACAGAATAATTTAGGCTGGAAGTCACAATGTCCTGACACCAGACTGGTGAACACTCCACACACTGCGTAAAAGTGTGTACTTACCTCCCCTGCATAGCGGTTACGCAAATTAAGAGAAGCCATAAAGTTGGAATAGTCCTTCTTCACACAAGTAGGTCTTTCAGTTAGCTGGGTTGCCTATGACCAAATCATATACAGCTATTTATATTGTTCGCATCTAATCACTTATCTTTTTTCCTCTCACATCTTTACCTATGTTTTAAGCTTAATTTCCTTTGTGCTTATAATCAGAATAGTATCAGGACTATGAGGTACAAAAGTACCAGAATGGATACAGGTGAGACAAGCAACATGTGCATTAGTTACATGTATACAATTTGAAATTTTTCAAAATTTACACACATGCACTTTTTGAAAGATAAAAAAGCATGGAAAAGGTAATGAAATTCTATAATATGACAGTTTTCTGTCACTCAATCCTTACATTTTTTTCCATCACGTTCTTGACATGTAGACAAGTCAATCAAAACAAGTAGCATGAACATGAAGAAGCTTCTTCTATTATTTCCTTTACAGTTTTAAAGTTTCTTCCAGCACATTCTTGATTCTAAGTTTTTTGTTTTTTGTTTTTTGTTTTTTAAAAAAAAAACTTTCCCTCTTCAGGGAACTATGTCACAGCATTCCTGCATCCTGGGGGGAATTCTTTATCCTGTCTACATTTAGTGACTAGTATTATCTAGAAGGATGACAGTAAGAAAGAATGAAAAGAAAATCCTGCTATAGCTTGGAATGAGGACAGTTTCAAAGCTGCTGCTAGAAAACAAGCTGGCTGATGACAGAACAGATTCTACAGATTTCTTCAGGAATCAAACATATTTAAGAAAAGGACAAACTGCATAAAACTGAATGAAATGAAATATGTGATGTGAAAGCATATTTTGAGTGAACCTACAATGAATTAGAGCAAATGAGCATTCTATTCTAAAAAGCATTTCAGCTTTATACAAAGATTCTACTTTCAAATTAACAAAAACCATCCCTAAATGTTTCTTTTAGAGGAAATAGATAGTTTTAACTTTCTTGCTTGTTAGCAGCCTACTTCTTATTAACTTATGTAACAATAGCGTGACTGGAAGATACTTTGACTTGAGCTGGAAAGAAATGAGGTATCTGAGTAATTTTCATAGTTATGTCAAATATGATTTAGAGGCTCATATTATCTGGCTAAACTTCATGTTATAAAATTAACATGACAGCTATGCAAACAAGAAAATACTCACTCCCAAAGTTGTGTTCTGTCTGTTGTAGCCAGCAAAGTGAAGAACACTTTCTGTAGCCATAGCCAGTCCTGTGTGCTGGGACAAACCTGATACCCAGTTCTGATGTTTGTTTAGGTACTCCTGATGCATCAAAAAACATTTGTTAGAAGACTACTATATTTTTCAAAACAAGGCAGCACACAGGCTAACACTGTATAACTGCAGAAAACAATTTCAGATGTATGTGAGGACAAGTAGACTGTCTACCTCTTCTAGGTGCTGCTCCCCAGCAAAAAAAAGTCACATCCTAAATTTGCAAAGAGAAAGAGTTGTTTCATTTTGTAAAATGATTACGTGGACAAGGTAACACTTCAAATCTGAGATTCTTTTTAAATAGAATCAGTTTTCATAAGAAGCCCTACAAAATGAAATGCTTTGGATCAGTCTTGAGTCATCCCAGAAATTCTATTTTCACCTCTGGGTAGTCAGAACATTAGTCTAATCTGGACTGCATCTCTTCTGCTACTTAGCAATGGGTTAACAAAAAGAGAACTCCATTATACAAGAAGTAGTGAGACTTCTTATTTACATCGAGTGTTTTATTTATTAATACTTCACAAAAAGTTTTTGCTAAGTTGATAGTGGGGTTTTTTTGTTTGTTTTTAACACTTTCTACTGAACTTTACCATATGCAAACATCTACTTCATCCATGCTTAGTTAACATCTACAGCTTGCCACAGAATTCATATGTAATGTTTTTTTCTTTAATTGAAAAATAAACAGCAAGAATGGAAGAAAACATCCTCCCAAAAAATAAGACAACCTAACTACTCATTTCAGTCCAGCTGGTATTTTTTTAAGCTACCTAATCTTTGGTAGGTAGAAAATTATAACAAATTTTTATCTCTGAATTGAGTCATTGAGTCTGGAATGATCAACTGTTTTCAAACCTGTTGTGTCAGTCAAGTTTAGATCAAAGCAACAATTGTAGTTGCTCTCTGGCAAAAAAAATGAGGGAAATGTTAGTGAAACAAAATTTAAAATGAAGTTTGAACAGTCCGAGAAAGTAAAAAAAAACACAACACAAATTAATTCTAATTTTGAAGATCTACAATGATCAAAATCTTTCACAGGAACAGCTCATCACCTGTAGATGAGATTTTGTAACAGAAGGAGCCCACTTCATTGCCTCTTGCAGAATCATCCCACAGCGTGCAGCAAAGTCTTTGACTATACTCTAGAATAACAAAGCAACAACAATGAATTACAGGATATTGAACAAGAAGCACTGGTTTTAATGGTGTAATAAGTAAACGGTACTAAGATGTGTCAGATAGTAATAGAGAACTTTACCCACAAAATTATTGTCCTTTTAGAGTAGCTCAGAGTAACTCACATCTGAGACAAAGAAAATCAAGCATTATTTGGTTGTTTGATGAATCAGATGCTACCTACCTCTCTGGCTTCATGTGTGTCAGGGACAGTTATTCTATAAGGAGCATCAGGAATGTCATAGTATGGTTGGTCCTTGTGAATATCCTAATCAAAAACAGTAATCAGTTCTCAAACTAAAATACATCATCACTTAACTTGAATATTACAGACATCACTCTTCCTAAATAACTGCTCCCGGAGTAAATCTGCTCTAAGAGATGGATTTTATTCCAGTAAGGTTTTCAGTACAAGCAATTCCAGAATACCAAAAATCTTCTCAAAATTTAGGATGAAAATAAAACTTACTGGTATTTCTAAGGATGGAAATACTTTATTAGGTAATAATTGAAATATTACAGATTAGTAATAGGTACTAAATAAAAAGGATATACACTGGAAATTGTATATGCTGACAACCTTTATCGTTCAAAAAAAAAAACCAAAACAAGCCATCAACAAATTTTTATGCAAAATGAGATAGATAAACTATCCAAAATGGTTAATACTGTTTCCTTTACTACTGAATTTGATTTTCTGAGAATCTGACAACTTTCATGGACAATGAAATGCCATATAACTGCAAAACAAAGCAAAACATTCAGTTCTATGAAAGTAAAAAAAAGACATGCATCTTGTATTCCTAATAACACCATTATAAAAGAAACTTACTGCACTAAGAGACAGTGATAATGTCTGCAGAATGTCAAGCATAGTCTTCAGCACAGTTCCGCTCCACAGCAAGTGGGGAAATCTAGAGCAAGACAGGATTGGAAGGAAATTATTTTTATCAAGAAATGGAGCTCCTCAAAGAGTGCTAGGTAAACTCATACTCTACAGAAATCACAGTTTGCCTTGGCTCACAACTAGCTAGCTCAAGACATGCTTGAAAACTCTCTGAAAAGCAAGCCAAGTAAAGCTATTCCATCAAAAAAGATGTTGCAGTTATTTCATGGGCACTTTGCTCCATCCATGGGAATGTTAAGCAGAAACAATTTAAGAGACTAGATTAAAAATACTGTTTACAAGGTGATGTTTCAGCAGAAGTATCAGCCACCAAATACACATCTGCTTTCCTTAATTGTGTGAGTATTCACAAAGCAGACAACGTGAAAAGAACAGCAGAGTGAAATTTATACTCACTTGTCTACCAGACCAGATAAGTACTTGTCTGCAACTCTCCTGATCCTCTTGTGAATGTGGTTAAAATTCACCAGTAAGAACTGAGCATGTCGCTCCAGCTCTTCTTCATTCTCCTTGGTTTTAGGCTAAAACCAAGAAGCCAAAGAAGTATAAAGCCAAATACATTCTCTTAAAATGAATAAGAACTTCCAGACTAATTTTAAAGTTCAGAGGCCGTGTTACCTACTTTATCAGCCATCATTGTCAGGAAAGCTTCAAACACCTTATCAGCAACAGCTATCACACACTGCATCATTCCTGAAGAATTGAGAGAAGTTACAGGTTTGATAAGAACTGAGTTTTCTTTATGCTTAACAGTTAAAAAGCATTCACGTTTACCAAGCCAGCATTTCAAAACTAATACAGAATATTTGGCAAGGATAAGACAAGCGATCTTGTGAATGAGATTCGGTTTTTGTTTTAACTGCTGGATTTGGTATAATTTTGCATGCCTATAGATAACTTCCATCCATCTCAACTTAGTAAACTTACCAGATTTGTCTTTTTGAATTGCTTTATCCTCAAAATAGCAAAACATGACTTGGAAGCGATCTTGATCAGTTGAACGCAGTACCCTTGGAGAGGAAGAGTTTTGCATGCTTTTTTTTCCTGTTTTATTTAAACATCTTCAACACAAAACTACATACTCCAACAACACATTACATACTACATAAACATAGTAATGATTCATTCCATACTAACTTTAAGTTTCTAATAAATGTGATACTTCCATTTGTTGCTACAAATGGACCCTAATGTTAGTAGAAAAAAATGTCTGCCATCAAGAGAACAACTTTCACACCTTAGGAATAGAAAATCTGATGATAATGCACTTATAAAAGCATCTCAAACAATTCCAAAAAAATATATAATCTTTGAGATTTCTATAGGTTCTGTCTGTGTTGAATTTGTACAATGGAAATATCACTTAGCAAAAAAAATGTTTCTAAAAATACAGCCAATATGTTTTTGATAAAAACTGTATGTATTGTCAGCTATTGTCAAAGTAAAAATAAGATGGGGAAGTTTTTACCTACTTTCCCTACTACTAGATTTCATCTCAGCTTTCAGCTACACAATGTTTGCATAGCAGCAATGAATATATGTCTATAGAAATAAAATACATGAATTTAGTAAGTCACATCAGTACAAGCTAACACACACTACTGAAGCAAAAAAACACTCACTTCAAAAAAAACCAACAAAACACATTTTCACAGCATCTACATTACATTAATCTCACAGAATAGATTATTTTTCAGATATTTTAATCCTTCTACAATGCAAGAATGGGACTTTAACTCTGTGCAGGAGATACGTTATACTTGTAAGATGCTCCCATGAAGAACACTTTTGTCCATCTTCTGTTAATTCCTACACAGAGGAGCTCTCATTCTTGTGACTCTGCTATATTATCATATCTTTTTACCTGCCATGATTTCTGTACAGATGAATTCTTAGTCTCAGAATCTCCAGTGCAGCTATTTTGATTCAAATTACTGATTCTCATTTGCCACAGTGTCTGGCAAATCTGACTTGAACACAAAAATTTTGAAAAAATCGTCAGAAGAAAGGTACATATGTATATACCTCATGTACTCCAGACGGTAAACAGAAAGGAGATAAGTAGACATGGCAAAGTCCAATTTATTGATCAATGCTGATACTTCTGGAGGAGGATCCAAGAGATTTATTATGGTACTCCGCAGTTCATTTAATTCAGCCTAGAGATGAATACATGCAGTTATGTGAAGTGGGAGGACTATATTAGTTTATGTTCTGAAAATATTCACTTTTAGCTATTAGTCTTCTTTACTTTTTAATGTTCACAAATAATATGCCAGGATACCTCTGTATGCAGACCAGGACCAACACGCTCTAACACAGCAGGTCAGATTCTTAGTATACAGAATTAAATAGAATATTGGAGTCAAGCTCCTTGTTAAAATAACTACTAGTTTCCATGCAATTAGACCATGAAGAAATACAATTCCTCTAATTAACATAATGTAATTTTGATCAATACCGATACTGTTCAGCTTCTGAAACTTCATGGAACCATTGCTTTGATGTCACAGAATTAAGTATGTAGGCACATGCAGACTTCTGTATTGTTTGGGAGCCAGAGACATCTTATACGCTGCTGCAAATTAATTCACCATACACGGTTACCATAAATGGCCTACCCTGCAAACACTAGAGAGAGTATACTAGTACTATGCCAGAGAATAAAAGAAAGTTCAACTAAAATGCATTTCTTTGAACAAGAATTAAAAATGAATGTGCTGTTTTCTTCCAAAGCTGTTTCTTTTTTTTTCTCCGTACAGTTCAAGTTTTGCCTCTGTCTGATATAGAATGGATGAAACTAACTATTAAAAGGCTTCCACCTCCACGAAGACTCGATTTCTACAGCTAATGAAAATAGTATAGCTGCCAGCCTAAAAAACTATATTAACACACAGCAAAACAACCTAAAACATTTCTATATACTGCTGTCAGAAGCGCTGTGTAAAAAGGTATTTTTGCAAAGAGGAGGCAGGTTAAATGTATACTCTGCCTTTGAAATACATGGTAATTCTTGGATAATAAATGAGTTAACAGTTGATTGACATTAAGAAAGGAGGCAATAGAAGAAACCAATTCTTACAGAAGTCACAGTATCATTCTTCATGGCAGAATTGTACTGAAGAACAGATCTGAGTGGTTCTTTGCTAGGAAATGTGAGTAATGGAGACTTGGTAGCAATTTCACATACACCCTCATACCATTCCTCTGGCCAGAGACCTGAAACAAAAAAAAATGGAAAGTGGAGCAAGGGAGAAAAACAGTATTAATACTCCCAAAGTTGATCAGCATTATCAAGATCTACACTACTTCCTTGGATGAATTTTTTATGCTCTTCAACACAAACACAAAGGTTCCTGTTCCAAATATAACACACACATTTAAGTGATTCCAAGTGAAACTTCAAAAGACATAAGTTTCTACTTCTTTTCCCTTTGTACCCCATACGTTTGATTATCCACTTCAGGAACTTGGTGATCAACATTAATACCTATGTTACAAATAATTGCTGTATTAGCTTAAAAAAAAAAAAGTCAGGTTCAACAATAAGTTGTACTGTGCTGAATCTCACAGCAAAACAGAACAGTTTTCATCTGCTTATCAGAAGTTTAAATACGAGCAGCAATGTTTCTCTCTTCAAATTTACATTACCTGATCCTTCCACAGCAAATCCCATGAGCACTGAATACAACCAGAAGTCACGGAACAGCTTTTGCAATCTGGGCTTGGCTTCCTTGATGGGTGGCAAGCGTCTAGTGAGCTAACAAAAAAAAAAAAAAAATCAGAAAATGGTGGCAATTACAGTAGCCTAATTCCATGTGAAGAAAACAACTTCTGCACTTCCATCTACTATGATTTACAAAGAGAGTATTTTTTGTCATCCAAAGAAACTAATATAATATTACTAACTGAAGAAAACTATTTTTTTAGAATAGCACAAATTCAAAATGCCAAAACTAAATTTCTGTGGTTTCACACAGGAATACCATCATACTGATACAGTAATCCAAAGAGAATACCTTATATTAGTATACATCAACTGTAGAGAAGAAGAGACCACATGGTCTTTCAAACTGTGAGCTAAAGACAGCACCTTTAAGCTTTGTTTTAGCACAGAGGAACTCAAAATCAAAATATTAGTCAAACATACTTCTGGTTGCTATTGTTTATTGGATCTGTGGAATACACTGAGGCTCCAGTTGGGGATCTTTTATTGTTTTCACCCACACACATAATGACATCAGTCCTGGAGAATTTACTATCTAAACAAGCAAGTAAAGGAACATCATTTTCAACACATCTATTCAAGCTGATAGCCTTTTCACAGACAGCTGCTACCACTGGAGCAGTTTATATTCTCAAACAACAAAATGATGTGGAATTCTTACAAATTTACATAGAAACCTGACAGTCTTTTACCCTACAATTGTTAGCAGCACAGAAAACGTTGAAAAAATTTGAAGGAAAGCTTCGCTAAACTGTGAACTTTATCTAATATGACCAGATATTATTAGTGTAGACTTCATTTTCAGAAGTGTATCTAATCTATCCTGAAGAGATTTTTTCCTAACTGTAAAATAATTCCGTTGTGGTATGAAAACACACAGGACTTCAGTAAAACCTTACATAAAGCTAACTTGGGACATATTTATAGATCATAAGGCAATCTGCCATTAAAACAAATAACTAAAAATTCCTATACTGCAGTAAAATTAACGTTAGTCCTATCTGGTGAACAGCACTGCTGAGTTGACAGCAAATGTCTGCACCTGAAGCACAGTGACAGAAGTAGCCTCACAAACCCGATAGCCTCAACCACATTTGAGGTGACATACAAATAATAACAAACTCATCTCAGCACAAAACAGCAGTGACATGGTTTCTATTAGTCTTAAACAGCCAAGTTTGTGTGTGTGCTTCACTGTGAAACTTCACATACACACCAATTTTTGCTCAAAGATTTTCCTCAAACATGAGCAAGTACCTGCAAAGCCATAAAAGTAGTTCAACAAACAACAAACAAAGCAATCCAGCAGAGATCACTGGGCAAGGGAGGGATTTTGGCTGACGAAGTAAGTTTAGCAGTGTTTGGTTTAGAAAATGTTTACTTTGGGAGATATACAAAAAAACTAGCACCAAAGTTCAGATTTAAAACTTGCCATTCCCCTCACTTGAGCTGTTTAACACATCTTTTCCATACTGTGACTTAAAGGTAAGCCTCATTTACATCTTCTGTTATTTTAGGTAGATCTGAATCAAATGCATGTATATTGCAGAGCGAGGAATGCTTTGTTTGTATAGGTGGAGATAAGCATTGTTTAAGCTTTAGTGAAGATGAAAATGTAAAGTTGGGAACTACCGACAGCAAATTCTTATACAGCAAAAGCAGAAAATATTTTTCAGTAGTTACTGGACAAAGAATGTCAGCTGAGAGAGAAAAAAATCATCTTTTTCTCTTCTGGGGGTAGGGGAAATAAAAAAGAAAGAAAGATGAATTTCTGAAGAAATGAGTACTCCCGACTCAAGTCCTTTAATCACAATGTAAATCTTTTAGTGATCCTTCATTATTGTAAAAACAATTCATTTTTTATATGGAATAATCATCCCGTTTTAAGATTTCAAGCTAATTACTTTCAGGGGAGAGTTCAAAAAATTAAGTCTTAGCTTAGTTACTTCAGTCCTGTTACGAGCCTGAAAAGCACTGCAAGCAATGGTTTACAAATTTGTGCATCTATGTATTTTACTTCTACAGCTCCTTGGCCTATTTGCTAATTTGCAAAACATTTTAATCAACTTCTTAGTAAAATTTTACTTTCGTCATTCAACATTTTTTCTAATATTATAAATCTTCGTGGTTATCTTCCTTTACTCAAAGCAAGTGCTATGAATTGAAACTGATTTTATACAGTCCCCAAATAACTTTGACAATGGTTTTTTAGAAAAAAATCAAGACCCTGGTATTCAGGCACCCATTTTACAGTGTCACCTGACACAGTTATTGAATGCTCATGTATTGGTCTTTGACTACTGCAGGAAGAAATTAAACTTTTCCATACCTTTTTAAGATCACTATAATTACTGCAAGTCAGAATTATGGTGAAAAGTCCTCAGACCTACTTCTTGTCAGATGAGTAAGGCTGATGGATTAACTTCAAGTTATGTATCTAGAAAAAGTTCTTGATTTTGAAGTCATGACCCCCCCCCAAAAAAAAAAAGCAGCAGTGCACTGCTCCAGAGACCAAACTCCTTTTAGAAAAAAAAAAAAAAAAAACAGGTTCTGCTTAAATATATTCACAGACACAGTAAGTGAAGTTAGAAATCTATCATCAGGATCACACTAAGACTGGAAGAACGGTTGCAAGCAGGAACTTACAGGACTTCGCATCATGAAGGAAATAGACAACACTACATATTGTGCAGTGCTGCACAAAAGTAAACTGAAACTAAATACAACCAAATAAGAAACAATCAAGAATCCAAACAGAAGAGGCAGATAGTTGTACCACAGTTGTAAAAAGTGAGCACACCCATGGAGTAACACACAAGACAACAAACAGGCCAGCATGAACATTTAAGCATTTTACACACTGCAGCCCCACTAACGGCATGCAGTGCAGATAAATGTCTTCTGGTGAGCTCCTTCAGTGGATCCCCAGTCCCTCCTTCTACCAAGCTCAGATCTTTCAACTTCTCTTCAACTCATATTTTCAGTAATGCAGTTTGTAAACTTTTTAAGCAATTGTATTTTATACATAAATAGATCAGTGTATTTCAGGCAATGAATTTGTTATCACTATATGAGATATGTCAATAACTATTACTTAAGCAGGAGGAGTTTAACCAATTATCCAGCAGGATGGAGACATTATTTAAGCAAAAATGGCTACCAGTAAAACAGATTTATCTATCTACCTAAGACAGATAAATACTGTATATACTGAATAAAGTAACTGCAGACTTTGTGGTCTGACAGAATCCATTGAAGACCTAGAATTCTGGAACACACAATTGAAATTCAATTACCCTCTTTCTTTCAACTTTGTTGTCTTCCAGGTTTTCAGAATGAAGTTCCTATTTCGTTTGCTTGCCTTGGCTATCATCATAACCTCCACATTTTGTGGAATCAAGGACTTCAGCGACCATTTTGAAAGCCTCAAAGATGCACATACACACGAAAATGGAACCTATGATATGCCAGACCTACCACTGGAGTTCCACAGAGAAAACACTATCACCAATGACTTGATTCCTGAAGAGGAGGAGGAAGAGGACTATCTAGATCTTGACAAGATATTGGGTGAAGACGACTACAGTGACATTATTGATGCTGCTCCACACATAGTTTCTGAAATTCAGCAAGGAAATATTCTGGAACTTTTCCAAGGCAAAACCAGAATCCAGCGTCTTAATATCCTCAATGCAAACTTTGGCTTCAACCTTTATCGGAGCGTAGCAGACAAAGCCAACTCCTCAGACAATATTCTCATGGCTCCTGTTGGTATTTCCACTGCAATGGCTATGATTTCTCTGGGTCTGAAGGGTCAAACTCAGCAGGAAGTATTATCTGTTCTCGGCTTTGAAGACTTCATTAATGCCAGCACCAAATACGAGCTCATGACTGTCCATAACCTCTTTCGGAAACTCACCCATCGGCTTTTCAGGCGCAATTTTGGTTACACTCTGAGGTCTGTCAATGATCTTTATATTCGTAAGGACTTTTCTATTCTGAATGATTTCAGAAACAATATGAAAACATACTACTTTGCTGATGCCCAACCAGCTGATTTTTCAGATCCTAACTTCATAACCAAAACCAATGAACGCATCTTGAAGTTGACCAAAGGATTAATAAAGGAAGCCCTTGTGAATGTAAACCCCACAACGCTTATGATGATTCTTAACTGTCTTTACTTCAAAGGTAAGTAATCCCAGACTAAACTTAAATAGATTCTATAGCTCAAAATAGACAACTGATTCTCTCATCAAGAACACTCTCTATTACTAACCCCTTAGTTTGCATGACTTTGTAGCACATTAATGTTCTAGTTATGCCCTGAAATTAGTGCATACTGTAGTAGAACAGCAAGAACTTGTTACAGACAAATGCTTATAGTCCAAAAATTGAGACTAAAAACAGCACACAAATGCAGAGCAGCCTAAGAAAGCATGGACTCTGTATGAAAAGCATGAGTTGTGGGTGGCAAGGAAGTACTTTACATGCAAGTTACCAGTCAGATTCAGTCCTACTTCAGGTTATCGACTTCACTGAAATTGCAGAGGTTGATTTCGGCTAAAACATTTAACATTCCTGAAGTACTATGGATTCAAAGGAATGACTCTAAGACCTTCTAGCTTAAGGTACATTTTTATGTAATCAGAGTGTGATCCTTGTCAATGAGTCTATCCAGAGAGCTAAAGACAGTAATCAAAACACTCTTCTAAAATTAAAAAAGACGACATTCACTACTTGGAGTTTTTCAGAAATTCAGCATGGCCTGTCTGCTGCTATGAGCTTCTATATACTTCACTACAGACTGAACAATTAGAAATAAATATATGTATACAAAATATTCTCTTAATATTAATTCTTATTTTCAATTTCTTCACACTTCAGTTTAGAATCCCCAGTAAGATTTTCAACGTTGGCTATTTGCTATTTTTATTTATTTTATTTTATTTGCTATTGGCTATTTTTTACTATTTTTCTAGTTAAAAAAAAGAACAATATTAAAGGAGCAAAAAGAGACAGGAGGTGCAAGCAACAGAGGAACTGAGGAAAAAGTCAAAACCTGTTAATGACTGCATAAGATGAAATCAGATAAAAGTCAAGTAACGCACTGGGGGGAAAGAGAGATTACCACAAATGGATAGCAAAGTTTGAGTACAACATACTGCTTTCTATAAAGGAGTTTCCTTTTTCTCATTATGTCCCTGCTTCCTGAAAACACATACTCAAGGTCTCTCTTCAATCTGCATTCCTACCATTTGATTTTCCAACAGTGTTCCTCCTGCTTTACACAATATACCTTTTTCACTTGCTTGCAAGGCATTATTTCCTAGAATAACGTTGCTTTTCTCTTTAAAATATCTGGAGCTCTCAATAAGCATAAGATCCAAATAATCCCCTATTTCGAAGTACCATCCAAAATCAAAATATTTGTATCCTTAAATACATATCTGATGATAATGTTTTGCCATAAGGAAGGTGTTGATTTACTATCCATTAGACTACCCAGAAAAAAAAAAAAAAGATTACACAACGTGAAGCAGATGCATTATTTTTCATGATGTGGTCATATTTTAAATATCTTCTGTTTTAAAATATGTACTCTGAAATCATTAAGTACTTGCACTATCTCAAAAAACATGAGCCATCAATATAAAAAAAACTTTTTTTTCCCTTTCCTCTGGGGAGTCCTGTTAGTTTGAATTACCACTGTATCTCTGCTGAACATTGTAAATTTCTAACTCATAAAATCAAAACCAATCAATTCCATATTGAGATGCGTCATTCCTTTATTTTTCAGTAACAGTCTCCTGGTAATTCTGTTTCAAGTGAAATAACTTTTCAAAAGCAGGTTCTGCTCCTTGCATACCCAGTGTGTTTAATAGTTCTTTGAGAAACACAACATTTTGTCCACATCTTTCAAATTACAACATTTACACCGTTTGTATCACTGCAGACAAGCTGTGTTTAGCCCTCAAAGCCAAGAAACCTTTGAGTATTCTCATGTATGCAGAGAGGCTCAGTACAAGAGTCATTGAGCAACAGTATAGCTCCAGATTCCAAGAAGTCTTAAGTTTCTCCTACGCAAAATCCATCAAGAATTAATTGGAAGCTATTCAGTCCTGGTAAGAAAGAAGTTTTATCTTGGGTAGGTATCCAGCATACGTCTGAGACCTATTCTCCATTCCTCCTATCAAAAAGAAGTCAGTTATTTTAGCCATGACCACAGCAGCTTTTGATGACTAAAAAATTTTAACAGGTTCAAAATCACTTCTCTGATATTCTAGTCGCGAATACCAGAAAAAAGCCTATTAGTGAAGACAACTGATTGGTTCTATCACCCAGATGGAATCCAAAACATAATCCTGGGAGGACTTTAAACAGTTAAGAAAGTCAGCACAGTGCCAACTGGTTTCTACTAGACCCAGACCACATGCTTCCTATTGGAGAAACAGTACTTTATACCAAAACAAATGCACCTGCCAATGTGAATCCAAGAGAAAGTTCTCAGCTCCCCTCTTTTACTAAGAAGAGCTGATAGACTGCTCTTATCCCTTAACAGAGCTGCCGAAGCTCCCACCGCCCACAATGGCTTGGAGTTGTTACATAGCTTGAGTCCCATGCCTGCTAATTCTGCTCCCTGAAGAAATCCAGATGGTGCTTTCTCCTGACAACTGAGGCAATTCATTTGGGAATAGCATAATCCATTTTATATATTCCCTTGTCTTAGAATAACTAAGTCTGATGATCACTTTGACTGCTCCTAACACATCAAAAACACATCAGAGTGGAAGTCAGACTCAAGGCTTTTTGTTACCACACAGTCAATTTAGAAGTCAAATTAAGGGGCTCAGAATCATTAACTTTTATCTAACATTTTGAAGTAGACAAAGTTTGTAGTCTATCCACATGTTTGCAGTCATACTTCCCATATATTTGCTTGCCAATGGCAACCTAGAATCCAAAACTTCAACAGGAAGTACCCAGTAGCCCTATCCCCACTACAAAATTCTAGCTTTGTCTGCCTATTAAGAATGTTTTTCACAGAACTACAGCTCTAAAGAGAATAAAGAAGTACTGCTTAAATAAGTGCTGGCTTTTTTTGTTTATTTTGTATGTTTGGTTGGTTTTGGTTTTCTTTTCTTTTTAAACTCAATCAATAAATACTTTGGATACCAAATAAATCTTCACACAGCTTCACCATCAGGGTTTGAATCATGTTTTCTCAGCTGCCAAATGTGTTGAATTGCATTCTTTGGGAATAAATTAGACGACCAACAAGCATACTGAAATCGAATCAAAATGAATCATACAATTAACTAGTAAACACCCAAACTGTTCAGAATGTCCTAAGATGGTACATTCATTGACTTGGACTGATTAAATCAAGATAATGACTTCAGTATAATATCTTTGAAGTATTATGCAAAATGAAAACAGCTATTACATAGCTTGATGCATCAATAACACGCCTGATGCAGTCTACTTCAGTACTGGATTCAAGTATTAGATCTCAAAAAAAATACAGCCGTACTGTTAGGTGAAAGCCCTGTCAAGTGTTTTACATGTATTTTTTAATTTCTAGATTCCTTATGGAAAAAAGGGCACGTGAAGCCTTTCCACATACCTAACTCATGTTCTACTTCTGTAATTCAGAAAATTAAGATCAGATGAATATTAAACTGGAAATAAAGACAAATTTTAAAGCTTTAAAACTTGTGTTCTCATTCGGACTTAATTAAAATTAACATTCACCTACAGCAAGTTCAAATTCACATGAATGAAAGTATAATATATGTTTTTACTCTGGGAATATTTTTCTAAATAAGAATATTGGCTTTTTTTTTGTTATTTATCTGTCTTCTGCATTACCAGGAACATGGGAGAATAAGTTTCCGGTGGAAATGACAACCAAGAGAAGTTTTCGACTGAATGAAAAGCAAACAATAAAGGTTCCTATGATGCAGACTAAAGGGAACTTCCTAGCCGCTGCAGACCCTGAGCTGGACTGCGGAGTGATCCAGCTGCCATTTGTGGGGAACATCAGTATGCTGATTGTACTTCCACACAAGCTCTCTGGCATGAAAGCCCTAGAAAAGCAAATAACCCCTCAGGTGGTGGAAAAATGGCAGAAGAGCATGACAAACAGGTATCTGCTGAAAAATACGTTCTGTTAAAATCTCAAAATACTTTCCTGGTCATATTGGCAAGGAAAGTAGGGAGCATAGAAGATAAAATATTTTGACTTAAAGCATTCAGCTTAAGCTTAATGCAATCTATACAGAAGCGACAAATCGCCAGCTTAGAACCCCAGAAAATTTCACAGTTCATTACAAGCATACCCAATCAGACATCAGAATGCCCAGAGCCTACATAATATACACAACCAAATCAAAGCATCATGTTATGTCAACAAACTAAGAGTATGTTATTTAATTATAAAGAACATAGCTTAAAAATTAATAATGCCTAATTTGTAAAAGCATGGTACAAGTTCCTGTGTTATCCATGCCCTATTTTTAAAACAAATACATAGCAAAGAAATTATGCAAGTTTGCATTTTCTCAACTATTTTTTTTTTCCATTTTTCTTTTTACTAGAACCAGAGAAGTAGTTCTGCCTAAATTTAAGCTGGAGAAGAACTACGACTTGATTGGTTTTCTAAGATCCATGGGAATAGAAGAACTGTTCAGTGAAAAAGGCAACTACTGTGGTGTATCAGAAGAGAAAGTCTCCATTGACAGAGTATTTATAACTCTCCTTGTCTTCATCTCCTTTCTGATTAAGCAATATCATCTGAAAACAAAGCACCATAGTAATAATTCACAGTTTAATAATCTAAAATATAGTTTTATATAGTCTTTCTTGGAACATAGAGGGCAGGTTGTGGGTTTCTCTACATGTCCTCATTTTTTCTTTTTTTTTTTCTTTTAAGAGAAATATGTTTAATTAGATGCCAAACTTAAAGTGTTGTGGTTGATCAGTCAATCAGTAACAGGGCTACTCAGAAGCCAAGCCCAAATGATTGCTGCCCCACAGGATCTACCAGCAGGAGCATCACAAGGCAGCCACATGCAGGACACAGCTTCGCTGGGAGGGAGAAGGCTTTGAGCACATTATTTGCGTATACTGAGACCCTCCTTTTTTATTTTATTTTTCACAGTTCAATCATCAAGGCACAATAACCGTGAATGAGGAAGGCACAGAAGCTGGAGCAATAACCAACGTTGGATTCATGCCTCTTTCTACTCAGATTCGCTTTATTGTCGACCGCCCCTTTTTGTTTCTGATCTATGAACACCGTACCAGTTGCCTTCTCTTCATGGGTAGAGTTGTCAACCCTGCCAAGCCATAGAGCAGAGAGCAACACCAACATGCTTTCATACACAGGCTGTATAATTACGTATTAATATATCATAGAAGTATCACAAAAGGCAATCTTCTTGTCGTATTAGTTAATACAAAAGCCCCGGTATAAAAAAAATATATAGTATCTATAAGTAGTTCTATGTGAATGGACTCAATAGTAGCTGATTTGACTGCAGTGCAACGTATCAATACAAGTATATTAAGAAATATCTCAAAGTAACTTTGTGTTTTACTTACTTTATAAAATGTAATCAATAAAATATGAAGACTATCTGGATTCTTGAAGTTCAGATCTAAGTTTTATTGCTGGTGAACCTATTCATAATAAATAAGAAAATCCTAAGTACCTGACTGGCATTAGAAATCTATGTCTCTCCTGGATACTTTTACATACTCTAATGAGAGTAGGTGACAGCGTTCTTGCTTTTGCTTGCACCATTTAACATTCAGCAGACCATGCCATCAACCATGAGCTTTACGGATCAGCAGAACAAAGAGGAGACAATATCCTGGTGGAATGAAATCCTAATGGATCCAATACCTTCCCCCAGTCTGACTTTGTTGGTTTCAACACAGTTCTCTAATCTCTACCCGTATAAACAATTTCAGAATTAGGCCAAACAAGTAATTCCTTAGAATACCCTACGTATTGTGAGCAGCTCGCAAAATGCTTTTTTTCAGCTCAGTATCACCTAATTCTCTTTATGAAAATTGATTTATAGCAAAAACAATGTTTGTTAAGAATTCAAATGCACTCTTCGTACTTAATTCAACAGACAAAACCTTTGAAGTCATGCACTAAGACTGTAAACAAGCTTGCTTCACATCTGAAAAACTGAAAGTTTGCCTGCACTCTGTAGATTACTACCAACCTGGTATCAAAAACAGAGTTACACCTTACATACAAACTACTACAGCCCCTGAACATATCCATGTCATACACTTTCCTTTGCATCTTAACACCTAAAACATGTTTCTCAAACCAGTGATTTTTTTTTTGTTATATCTAATATCAAATATTGTATAAATCTAAGTATGTTTGTATTTTAAGTTTCCCTCATGTTAACAAAAACACAAAAAGCTACAAAAAAAGCCATAAACAAACTCTTTAAACAGCTTAAGGAGTAAGGCAGCTCTCTAGAAGGTATGTTTCAACACTAACTTACTGATTGCACATTGTAGGAGATGAATAATTACAAATGTCAACAATTATTTGCCCCATACATAAAGTCATTTTTAACAGACTAGCCAAAGAAATTAACATCAAATGAAAACCCAGATGTTTCTATTTCTAGCTTACACTGCGCTTACTCAAAAGTCAATACTGGGAACTTAATTTTTTAGTACTGAAGTTTCACTGCACAAATCGATACAATTCACGTAAACATTTCATCTTTTTTATCTACATTCAAAGGACTAAATATTCACACCCCAAATATAATCAGTGTATCACAGGTTAAATGAGCTGGAGGATCTGATTTTTCCCTTTTGTCTTCGCAACCTAAATAACCAGAATTATTCAAGGGAAAGAGGTCAAGCATAAAGGCAAACCAGCTACTGTTCAAAACTCACGCTCTTCGTACATTGTGCAAGAAAGTCAAATATTTGCTTCAACAACCATAAGTAACCATTAACTCTTACTACAGATTCTGGCACCGACTCTATTTAAAGGTCACATTAGTTAAGAAAAATGCAGTTTTCACTGGCTATTCAGAAAACAAATATATCATCAATAAAAACTTGAAACAAAACTATTTCCATAATTTTTACATCAAGTCTTTAACAAACATTATTTTTTTTTTGTCTCTATTATGTAAGGAATGATCTTACACTCTAGTCAGTGATGACACTAACATCCACTTCACTGATAAGTTAAAAATACAACCCACTAGATTATACACCTCAAGATCTGCTTCTTCATTCAAAAATTAAGCAGCTATTGAATAGTAATCCAAGGCATTTATAAATACATTTCTGCAAATCTAGGATTTGGTTACGTTGGAAACTGATGGAAAAGACAGAGGAAGGTTCTATGTAATTAGTGCTAGTTTAGGGCTCTACTCCTGGAAAAAAATTCAGTAAACAGTGTGAGTGCAGAATATGAAAAGCATGATTTAATTTTTCTCCTTAACAGACGTAGAATTTACGAACATACTATACAAATATATATCCCACTAGGTGTGCAAAAAAAAAAAAAAGCCACAGAAATTCAACTTCATGGGGGGGAAGTGACCTGATGCTTTTTGTCTTCTAGTAAGATTGTTTAGATCTTTTACATCAAGAAGTTCTGTAGAAACTACAGTTAGTTGACTAGTCCTCTTGACCTGGGAACCCAGCTTGGACATAAGCTTTTTGTTTGGAGTCTATTAAGGTCACACACCAATTTTTGGATGGATTAGAAGTTACACTTCATTAAGAAGAAAAAGTTTGGATACAACAAAAAGCAGATAAACAGAATATGTGAGCCTGGAATGGCCACCAGAATCCTAAAATGCTATCAGCATGACAGCCAATTCTAGTTTCAGGATACACGGGATAATTGGTAACACTTCCTCTCCTACTTGTTTTTTTTTTGTGGTTTTTTTTTTTTCTTTAAAAAGAGGCAGAATTTGCTGCACTGCCAAACTAAGATTTATTTATAACTTTTGGTCATCACTTTATCTTTAGGTAAGTGCTGTTTATTATGCTGCACATCAAACGTTACACAGAGTATAACATGGTATTATTTAGTCCACAGATCTCTCTAAATTCATGTTTAGCGATATTTTGTGATTCACAGTTAAATTAATAACTATACTACTGTATACTGGATGCTTACTTGTACACCAGTTCACTAGCTGTTAATCAAACCATTTGACTTTGCAATAGTACTGATACTTGATATAAGTGAGAAAGATTATTCAGCTACCCAACTGGGTACTTACCACAGCAATAACAGGAATAAGCACACCAAGATTCCCTGCGCTACTGGAAGCCTGGGAAAGAAGAAGGAAATTATCATCAAAAGCCTCTGCAAAAATATTTCTAATACTTGCTAAATAACATTTCAAGCATCAAGCATTCCTACACCTATGCAAATGAAAACATACATTGCCAATTACAACCCTGAACCTTTCAGCTGGATGTGTGTAAGGTGGCCAAAAGAACACTTTTGAAATCCACAACACTGGGCAGAGAGCCAGAAGCCTTTTCAACAAGATTCTTCAAGCAGCCTCCTCCTGCAGGCTCCTGAAGGAAATGTTTTCCCTTTCAGAACTAAACTAAACCTTCCAGAATCTAAACTTCAAAATTAGATACTACGCCTTGAGCTAAGGTGGAAAATATTCATTGATATCACCTTTTTTCTGATATCCAACAACCACAAGAAAAATGCCCATGTTAAATCACAGAATGAATCATAGAATGGTTTGAGTTTGAAGGGACGTTTAAGATCATCTAGTTCCAACCCCCTAATATATGGGGGTTGTTCAGTGCCCCATCCAGCCTGGTCTTGAACGCCTTCAGGAAGGACGCATCCTCAACCTCTCCTTTTGCAGTGTCTCACCACCCTCACAGAAAGAATTTCACCCTAATATCTAGCCTAAGTCCCCCCTCTTTCAACTTAAACCATTTCCCCTCATCTTGTTGATGCACGCCCTTATAAGAAGTCCCTCCCCAGCTCTCCTTCATGTTCCTGCAGGGCCCCTTCAGAACTAGAAGGCCACTGTAAGGTCTCCTCAGAGCCTTTTCTTCTCCAGGCTGGAGAGTTCTCTGAGCATGTCCTCATAGGTGAAGTGTTTCAGCCCTCTGATCATCTTCGTGACCCTCCTCTGGACATGCTCCAACAGCTCAATGTCCTTCTTGTGCTGGGGGCTCCAGAACTGGAGAGGTAGGGTTTCACAAGAGCAGAGAAGAGGAGCAGAATTACCTCCTTGACATGCTGGCCAGACATCTTTTAACGCAACCCAGAATAGAGTTGGCCTTTTGGGGGTGCAAGCACACATTTCCAGCTCACGTTGAGTCTTTCATCAACTGAAACCCCAAATCTACCTCCGCAGGACTATTCTCAAGCCATTCTCTACCCAACTTGTATCTGCTTGGGATTGCCCCAACCCAGATGCAGGACCTTGCACTCGGCCTTGTTGAACTTCATGATGCTGGCACTGGCCCACCTGTGAAGCCTGTCCAGGTTCCTCTGGATGGCATTCCTTCCCTCTAGCAAGTAGGCTGCACCACTCAGTTTGGTGCCATTTGCAAACTTCCTGAGGATACGCTCAATCCTACAGTACACATCATCCAGAAAGATGCACCAATCCCAGCATCAATTCCAGAGGAATACCACTCTACACTGGTCTCTACCTAGACAGTGAGCCATTGATCACAACAATCTGAGTGCGACTCTGAAGCCAATTCCTCAATCCAGTGACTGGTCCATTCATCAAATCCATTTTTCTCCAATTTGGTAACCAGGATGTCATGTGGGACAGCTCAAACACTTCGCACAAAACCAGGTAGACAGTGTCATTTGCCCTTCCTTTATCCACTCACACTGTAACTCTGCTATAAAAGGCCACCACATTTGTTAGGCATGACTTGCCCTTGGTGAAGCCATATTGGTGAACCTCCAATCACCTAATCTTTATTTTCCATGTGCCTTAGTAGGGCCTTCACAAGGATCCACTCCATGATCTTGCTAGGCATAGAGGTGAGACTGGCCTTTAGCTCCCTAGATGTTCCTTTTTTCCCCTTTTGAAGATGGGGTTATGTTTTTCCTTTTCCAATCAGTGGGAACTTCAGACTGGTATGACCTTTCAAGTTTGATGGAGAGGGGCTTGGCAACTTCATCCACCACTTCCCTCAGAACCCATGGATGGATCTAACTGTGTCCCACAGACTTGTGCACCTTCAGGTTCTTTAGATGGTCTTGAACCTGATCTTCACTTACAGCAGGCAGAACTTCATTCTCCCAGCTCTTACCTGTGCTTTCTGCAGCTTGGATGGTACGGCTAGAGCCTCAGTAAAGACTGAGGCAAAGATGTCATTGAGCACCCCAACTTTCATAGTATTAGAGAATGGCCCGGGTTGGAAGGGACCACAAGGATCACGAAGCTCAAACCCCCCTCCCGCCACAGTCAGGGCTACCAACCTCCCGATTTCATACTAGACCAGGCTGCCTAAGGTACCGCCCAACCTGGCCTTGAACACTTCCAGGGATGGACAGGGCTTCAACAACCTCTGAGTAGCCTGTTCCAGCACCTCACCATTCTCATAGTACAGAGCTTCCCCCTGACATCCAACTTAAATCTTACCTCCTTCAATTTGTCCTGCGATTGTCTAACCTGCTTATAGGTTCCCTTTAGGTACTGAAAGGCTGCAATTAGGTCATCCCACAGCCTTCTCTTCTTCAGGCTGAACAAGCCCAGCTTCCTCAGCCTGTCTTCGTAGGGGAGGTACTCCAGCCTTTCATCATCCTAGTGACCCTCCTCTGGACCCTCTCCAACAGCTCCCTGTTTTCTTGTACTGAGGGCCCACAGACTTGGACACAGTACTCCAGATGGGGCCTCATGAGGGCAGAGTAGAGAGGACAGTCACCTCCCTGTCCCTGCTGGCCACTCCTCCTGATGGAACTCAGGATACCATTTGCTTTCAGAGCTGCAAAAGCACTCTACTGGCTCACGTTAAGTTTTTCATCCACCAGGACCCTCAGCTCCTTCTCTGCAGGGCTGCTCTCAAGGACCGCTCTTAGTCTGTATGGATGCCTGGGATTCCTCCAGCCCTAGTACAAAAAACTTGCACTTTGCTGTGTTGAACCTCACTAAGTTCACCCAGGCCCACCTTTCAAGCCTGCTGAGGTCCCTCTGAATGGTATCCCCTCCTTCCACTGTGTCGACCGCACCACTCCTCTTGGTGTCATCAGCAAACTTGCTGAGGGTTCCTCACTCAATTCCATCATTGATATCACTAATAAAGATGTTAAAAAGCACTGGTCCCAAGACAGACTTGTCCACCCATCAAATCCACATCTTCCCAATTTGGAGATAAGGATGTAGTGAGGGACCATGCCAAAGGCCTTGACAGGCCTCTCTCCATATCACTTGTGACCAGGTCTCCAGTTTCCTTCCAGAGAGGGCTCACTGTTACCATGATAAGCTTAGACTGAGAGGCCTGCGTGGATGTGGAAGATCTTCGAAGGCTTAAGATGCACCTGTCATAACAGTAGTAAAGGACTAACAGAATGACACAGATGACTACATTGAGCAAAAGCGCTGGACTAGGTGATTTCTTGAGGTCCCTTCCAACCTGAGATTTTCTATGATCCTATGACACTGCTAAAATTAGGAGAATAGTTCTGCTAAATTTTGAGACACACTAAGTAAGAAATATTCAGAGATCAGTACCCCCAGTTTCTCTTTGGAGTTCCACCTCTGACAACTGAACGCTTCAGACAGTCATACCAAGGCTAACACAAACTCAGGAGAAGCTGTACAATAGGAATTACCACTGCCTTATCTCAGATACAATATTCAGGTTAGCCAGGCGTTTGGAAGACATACCAGATCTGTACCCTAATTCCAGGGCAAAAATACACTCTTAGGTTTAAGGATATGAAATTTCATGAAACCCACATGTAAAAATGTGGTTTTACTGCACACAACCGGAAAAAACAAAACATAATTATCTTACTTTCAGTGCTGGACCTTTTTCACTTGCTCTCTCACTAGCCCTCTTTCCTTCTAGCCCAAGCTGAACAAACAGTTCCAGCAAGTTCATCAACAATTCATCCACAAGGTGCTCTCCTTGAATGTTAGCAGCGATGTTAGCTAGGGCATTAATGACTGCTAAGGAACAGTGTCTGAGAAAAAAGAAAAAAGAAATTATGAACAAGAAACCCCTCATTTCTCCAATTCCAGTCCTTTCTTCGTAATTCTGACCAGTAATTCTTCTAATAAAGCTACTACAGTCACTATTTAAGTGAAAAATTATTTGTCAGTTTTGTCTATGAATGATGTGTTGTTGTTTATGATTTTGTCATTGCCAAGAAGAAATTACTTTCTTGTTACAGATATGACTATAGACAAAAAAAACCAGCAGAGGGCTGTGTTTCTGGAAAGAGAAAACAATATTCTACATAGTATCAGCACGCATTTAAGGGACGCAACTAAGTCTTACCTGTATCCATGATCCTTATAATCTTTTGTAGCAGAGTAAACAACTGAACTTGCTTTAACACTGATTTGCTGAAACAGATTCCACACCTCCTGATATATGTATTGCTGTAAAACAAAAATGCTAATTAGAGCTTACTGAATACTATCTCTCTGCTATGATGAATGACCCTGTAAAGTACATTTTAAGTATTACAGAAGTTCTTCAAGCACCTACTTGTAACCTGAACAATAGCTTCAGCTTCTAAGGAGCACACAGTTGAAGTGTTTTCATTAATATTTCTCACTGCTTGGATGTTCTCTTAATTGCTTTAAAAGGTATATACTTACAAGACTTCAAAAGCTAATCGCTGATATGAAAAATGATAATGTGCACCTGTTGGGGATGCAGACATTTAGAAACTACTTAATTTCTAAAAACATGGAATTTATTTTCTAAACTTTCATAATTTTCTGTAGGGATGAATCTTGTTTACAGGCACATTTACACGCAGTTTACACATTATTATTTACCTTCTGTTTTCTGATGTCACTGAGACTAGGACTGCACAAGCATGCATAAGTAAGTCAAGAAAACCTTTCAAAATAATTCTTGCAGATGCAGTTTCTAAAGGAAACTAAATGAAAAAGAGTATAAACCGGAACTCTTTTGACCAGTTCTTTCCTTACATTTCCAGTGATGACCAAGCAGCCTAGCTGGTCAATGATGAGTACGTCAAGATTAGAAGGTGGCTGGCAGAACTTCTGCTGTAAGATCTGTAGGATGGGTTCCATCATTTTCGGTGTGTCTCTCAGTGCCACTGCAATGTGCCCAAGAGCACGAATTGTGTGGTCAGGAATCAAATGAGCTTCTCTGTTATAAGACAAACAAAAAAAACCCATCCAGTCACACATGTAGTTGTCCAGCTGTCAATAAGCCCTCAAAGCAGGTTTACATTCCATATAAGAAACAACCAGTATACTAAGTTAAAGCATCATTAAACTTTACTGTTGCCCTCTACACACGCACCTACCCTCAGCATGTAGCATTAGAGACATACATGCACAGGTTTAAAAAAAAACAAAAACAAAAACACAACCCACCAGAAACTACAACCTATAAATGCACTACACAAGAATCTGTTTGTAAACTGCTCTAGAAACGATAGAGAAAGGAAGAAAATGCGACATGCAAAGCAACAGGACAAGATGGTTTGGCCAGCTACTATAGGACTTAACCACACTCATCTCAGACATTTAATTCTAAAGTAATGCCACCAGTACTTATGTCTTAGAGTAAGTTTCAGGCTGGTTAAGTGAAGGAAAAAAAACTGGTTTTATAACTAACAGCTTACTTATCACTCTCTTGTGAGATGTACAGACGGTTAGACAAACTGGCAAGAAAGGCTTCAACAATCACTGAATCTATAGTCAAGCCAGCTTTCAAGCACCTGGAATAAAAATGAGTAGAGAACATGCTACAACAGGTAGAGGAAAAACAACAAAAAAACAAGTATTTCAGTTTGTACAATTGTACACATGCACCAGGAATAAGGAAGAGGAGTCTATACTGAAGTCTAAGAACAAATTGTTTAAATGTACTACAGATATATTCCAAAACATGGGTGGAACTTCTGCTACTGCTTTATCCAGCAACAAAGATGGGGACATGTAAAAGATAAATTTAGAACCGCTTAGATTTGCTTAGCACCCTTAACTCCTTGTCTCTGATCAGCAACCTTCTGTCTTCCCTACAGCACTGTGAAGCTGTAGGGAAGAGAATAACAATTGTTAGAGGAAACAAAAACCTGCCTGAGCATCAAAATGTGAATAGCATGAGTTAGGTATGTGGGAAGCACAACAATGAAACTAAGTTACCATTCTGAATTTAGGATGCATGCAGAACCACGGGATTGTCTAAAGAAAAAAAAGGTCATAACATAAAAGGGCACTGTGCAGTGCCTTCTAAATGGTCCCAGTACTTTTCCTACTAGGGAAAGAGAAAATACGTTCCAAATAGCGTACGTCTTCTCTGTTACCACACACTTCTTACCTGCAGATATTATCTATGGCAATGTCACGAAGTTGTTCATACATGGATGGCTGACTTTTTTTGCCAGGCATTACATTTAGAGTGGACTCCGAATGCTCATTGGTTACACTAATCTTGATGTCATTTGCACCTAGTCGAACACAGTACAGAAATCAACACCATCCAAAACATCCTTGCCCCATCACCTGAGACGTGAGCATACAGGCAGAGCTACAACTGGCAAGTGTAAGACAGGTCACTTGACAGGTCAGAGTTCAGCTGAAGAAATTTGAAACTGCATTCACTACTTTGGCAAGTTATCACTGCATTTAATTATTCCTAAATTTAATCACCTTCACTTCTCATTTTATCTGTTCTGCCTTTGCATTACGATAGTACTTTCGCATGAGCAAGTAATTTACATTGTACACTTTCTTTTGGGAAATCACAACTTCATAGTATAATCGAAAAACAACAATAAACATGCCATCAAGTATCCTCCTAACCCTAACCCAAATCCTACCTACTGATTGTCTTTCAGTAACACTGCACAGAAAAACCTGCTCCCTGTTGGTCATTAAGCAAAAATTTTCTTGATATTTTTAATGCCACTTTCATGTCTTTCAAGCCTAAAGTAGGAAGATTCCACATGGCTGTCAAGCCAGGAAAACAATATTTTCCATGGCAATCTGAAATCACAGAACAAAAACGGAACACTATACTGCTATCCACTTTTTCCAACATTAACTCTGAAAACAAACCTGAAAAGGATTAAGAAGTCAATTCACAACACTTGCTCACTTGTGTGAGCAAGTAAGCACATCCTACTGCATACAAATGTATGATCAAAAAGTATCAAAATACAGCCAACGTGTCAGCACATTCAGTTATGATTTTCCTCATGAAGTTCACATTCTTTCATCCATCTTATCTTGGTTATATGCTGTAATGCTATAGTGCAATGGAAAGTACAGCAATAATAGCAGGATGGCAAAGTCCTAGGCTGCAGCAAGTAAAGATAAGCCCAAGTGCACAGCTGTGGACACAGAAACAAAGAAAAAAAGCTGCTTACCCTTTGAATGCCTCAGGTAGGCAGGGATCTCCAGCAAGATACCCTCACCTCCACTGCCAACCTTACATGATGCCTGGGAAGGGGTGGATCCTGGCTCCATCCCTTCCAACCACTCACGTGCACTGCTTGCACCTGAGCTCCTCTGGGTTGGCCCTGCCTTTCCACCAGGTGCTCCATCACTGCTTCAGGCTGTGACTTAGTATTTCTGCTACACACGCTAATGCAAATGTAACACAACCTGCAAACTCAAAGTAGCCATTCTCTGCTTATCACCACATGCTGCACAGCCTACACAACAGCATGGTATTTCAACACACTTGTTTTTCTTGATCAGGAACACAATTCTTTAGTTCTGCTTTAACCTACATATAAAAGAAACTGACATCACCAATAAGTTTGTCATAAGACTCACATAATATAGGGCAAACTAATGCATATTCACACTTCAATGGCTAGTGATCTCACATAGTCTTATCTCAAGAACTTTTGCCCTATCTGTTTTAACAAAGCAGGCACAGTGATGCTGCTCAAAAGATAAACAGTATTTGTACAACTAATTTTATCTCAACTGATAGATACACTTCTATCCCAATCTGCATTCCTCTTCTCTATCTCCAAAAAAAGCAGTAATTCACCTCCATTTTCCCCCTACAGATGCATCACCACAGAACATCTAAAAGCCTCAATAAACCATAAAGTAACAAAATAACTAGCATATCCTTTCTAACACAGCCTTTCCCTTCCCACCTCAACCAATCACCTGCGTGATACTGGCTATGATACTTGTAAAGTTTCACAAGCACTGGGGAAGGTATCACAAGGAAGTCTCTCAAAGATGGGTTGACAGAATGAACCACAACAGGGAACCTCTCACATAAACGACCTAGACCCTAAAAACAAAAAAGAAAAAAAAAAGAAATTTCAGTATAGGTTTTTATTTCAACTGTAAGCTTGCAACATCAGCACAACACAGAAAAAGCTAGTTCTAAAGTATTCAATTTTTAGAGGAAGACCTATATGTTTCATAGATTGGCTTGAGTTGAGAGGGACCTCAAGGACCATCAAGCCTCAACCCTCCTGCCGCATGCAGGGCCACCAATCTCCAACTCTAATACTAGACCTCAAGCTTCTAATTCTTTTAAATTATTTTATTGTGGTATGTCAGTCAACTCTTGCTGCCTTCTTCATGGTTAAGTTCACATGAGGCATATGAAATGAGCTGCATACTCTAAAAATAAAGTTACTGGACAAGTTCCAATGTGTAAAGAATCCTGATAATTTCCTATCTTAATTCTGGAAAATAACACATTTGCAAAAATGTATCCAACAAGATGACATGAAGATCAGAATAACCAAATCTTGAAGGTCAGTAATTCACCCATCCCAGTTTATGTAACAACTACAATACCATTTCAGAAACAACATACTAGTTAAAAACACTCAATATTATTCCTCAAGATCAAGTAGAGCTAAGAACATTTTGAATGCATTTCTCTGTTGCAGATTCAGCTTCTACACCAGACCTCTGAAGTCCAAATGAAAAGTAACACAAACTGCAGATGTAAAACGCTTTCTAGCAACTCATAATCCCCCCCCAACTCTTACACACTCATATAGTAGAGTAAAATAAGTAAAGACAGACCTGCAAACAGCAAATTAGCAGTGGTAAATGAGCAATGATGACTTTGCTGGAAGTTTTTGACTGCAGCTTCTCTGATAACTTGATGCACAGATTTTCTGCACCTTAGTACCAAAAATCCAACAAAAATCAATAAGTTTGTTAGTCCTGTTACTAGGCCACACATAACCCAATGCTTACTGGATTGTCTAAATCACACAGAGAACTTATCAGCTTCACTCTCCTCATACTACAATTCCTCAAAGATATTTAGCACTTTTTTCTGTAAATAAAGTGTTTAGGAATCTTAGTATCTTCACTATCTAGCCCCTCCAAACGCTATGGCTGAAAGAATAACTGTACTTAAAGTTAAGTTTGAGCATACTTCATATTTGACAGAAAGTAAGCATTACAAGGATTAAAAGAAAAAAAAAATCACAGGCATTCAGAGAATGCATAAGAATTATATAACAAGAAAGAAAACTAGAAAAAGTTAGGAGTTTCCCAATACCCACAGCAATGAAGAAAACACATTTTCAGTCAGACCAAACTTCTAAAACAGTAAAAGTAATAATTGAAAATTTCAACAACATATACTGTTCCTTCTAAACGAACTAATCAGAAGCTTTAATTTTATTTATGTACAGAGATGTCTAAGCAGCTGGTAATCTAATTAAACAATTTATTGATTGAAGTTTGACTCTTGAATTCCAATAACAAAGAGTATTCAGCTCAAATTTATTTCATATTTCTCTGACATCAGAGTTTATAAATATTTCTGCAAGTTAAAAATCAAGACGACAGACATTGCAGAGATGGGAGAGCATTTTTCACCTTGCTCATCTTTCACAGCCCACACCATGAGATCCACACAGGCAGCATTAGCTTGACAGCGCAGTTTTAGGGGACTCAGTTCATTATGCAGTCGATCAACATCATGAAGGATTTTCTGAAGTTCTGATTGGCTGCTGTTGAATTGTTCTAGCACAAAATCATGGATTTCTTTCACAAATGAGTTGGGAAGGTCTAAAGAAATAAAAGAAGATAGCATTAGCATAGAAGAAAGAGATCCACTGGATCAGAAAGAGAGCACAAATAAAATTCATTGCCATGTTATGATTGAAATTATTTCATGAAGTTTATGCTCTACATAAAAGATAAACTTCATAGCAAAGTACACAAGTAATCAGACAATTGAAATGCCATCTGTTGTACACTAAGTTTTTTTCCTTTCCTTCCCTGGCACCTAGGATGATGCTAGGAAATGGAAACATTTCAAAACACATCCTAAATTACACAAAATACACATATACTATACCTTTCATGTAATACAATGTGTCTCTCAGCATTTTGAACTGAGCAAGATAAAGAGGATCACTGAATGTTTTATAATAGAGATCTGTATTAGTGCCCATCTGCAAAAGAGAAGCATGCTTTCAGAAAATAAAAATGAAGTATTATACATAAGATGGATAAATAAATCTTCACATTCAAGTCATAACTGTCTTCCTCTGCAACATAAGCAAACATTTAAAACACCTATCAAAAGTAACCTCACAGCTTGTTGTCCTTGCTATATTTAGCAGAAGAATAAGTACAACTACTATGTGCATTAAATGAACTCAGTGTACTAAATAAGATTCAGTCAGTCTTTTGACTCGAAGACAGCATGCATGTTCTCTGTCTTTTAATAATAATAAATACTAAAAATCAAATCTTTCATTTTACTGAGAAAGGAGAGATAGAAGCTGTCTCCACTTTGGCCTAAATCAAAATACAGCAGCACTCAACGGAAGGAGAGAACGACAAACACATTCTCACAAAACTGAACACGCACTCCTTCCAGTTCAGTTTTACACCTCCAGTGAAATAGGGCTAACTCCAGAAAACACTGTGGGGAAAGAGAAGAGGGGAACAACTAGTCACGGGCCTACAAAAACAAGCATGCTATCTCTAATAGTAAAGGTCAAAGGAGCGTTACACTATTACACTTCTTGAAACAGAGCAGTTGTGATTACCAAGGCAGAAAAAGGGGAGGGAGAAATAAAAGCCCATCAGCAAAAATCTACATTCTATCACCATGAGAAAAGACAATATAGGAAACCAGTCTGGGAAACTAATGTAATTTAGAAAGATAAAAGAGCTCAAGTAGCTCAGTACTTCATCTGTAAGAGAGCAACTACTTCCATTTATGTTTGTGAAAAATATTCTTCCCCAGTTTTACAAAATCCAAAATACATGTAAAAAAACTAAAAGAAATAAATGAACGAGGAAACTAGAATCCTTTTGCAAAGGCAAGGTATATCTTACATTTTAAAAATAACTTTCAAGTATTAACTATTAAGACAAAAATGAAGTGCAATAATCATTAGAAGGGGATTTTAAAAACATACCTCTGCAACTTCAGCTACAACTGCATCTAAGGTCTTCAGCAGAGAATCCTCAACGATCTGTTTTACCTGCAGAGTAGGAAAAAAAAAAAATCTTCCTACATACGAGATGATACAATTTTGCACATGGAAAGAAACACCCATCACAACTGCAAAGCATCAGATGAAATTCAAGAATTTCCAATTGCAACAAGATTTAACATATTTTGGTCTGTGTGCACTACAGCAAAACAGCTGGTGTGTGAAGCAGCTGGAGCCAGTATCCCTTGCATTTTTTAGGAATATTATGATGTTTAATGCCATAAAAATAATGTTACATAAAGCTTGGAAGATAAGCATAGTTTTTTTAATTGCAATTCTAAAACTTAAACTGCGTATTTCTCTAATAAGGATATCTAGAATCACTGCAGCCTGCATAGTGTTTCATCACATACCATATTCAAGAGCTGATGGAGCATTTCCAATGGGATATTAAATTCTTTATTGTTAATGCCATTAAAGAGAGGAGAAACTGAAAAACTGGAGCTGATGGTAGTGAAGTAATAATCAGGATCCAGTGCACTACCATCAGGAAGATAAGAACCTGATCAGAAAATAAAAAAAAAGTTTAGGGAGAGGAAGGAAATACAAGTTTTGTTTAATGGCAATGCTGAATCACCATTAAGAAGAGTTATTTTGCAACATGTGTACAGTCACTAACTCGCAAACTACTTGGAGGCTCAATTCAGTTATTCTGTTGGTAAATCAAGGCACAAAACTACAATATCCATTAGAAAGCAACAATCATGCAGACAGAATTGATTTCAGTTTCTCATGTTCGTGTCACAGACATGGCTCACAAGAAGTCTTACCATACTACTGATGTCCATTTACCTGGAAATTTTTTGGTAAATGCCGTGTTACTAATGAATATAGTGGTAAGAAGAATAGGCAGAGACAAAACTATCTTGCAAAGTTTTTCCCTATATTAGTCCAGATAAGCATGTGGAAAAGCCCTTCATCTTAGAAAAGAAGTAAATTCATTACTGCAATTTGAAATTAAATATTTTTAAAGATCCAGGTATTCTGTTAAGCAAATAGATCGCGAATTATAGTGCTTTTGGCACTGCTTGCACTTTGAAATGACATCTTTGTCTTTTCAAAGTACTCAGTTGTCTGTACTAAAGTAACACTCCTATGAGTAATAGGCTTTCAAGCAGCACTGGTTATTAATAATAATTAAAAAAAAAAATAAATGTTTTCAGTCGTCTTTTTTTTTTCCTACCCCTAAAGCCCCAGTCTTGGGTAAAGGGGAGAACAAAAAAAACAACCAAGGCCATTAATCATCATCTTCAGAAAAATAAGACTTTTTTCCAGTAATGTGGTTTGTGATAGTAAGACCTGCCTTCATGTTTTCATGTTTTAAGATGTTTTGTGTACAGTCTCACTCTAACCTACTGCATTTTTTCCTTAAAAACAAAAGCACAAAAAAACAACAAAAAAAATCACCAAAAAAAAGCCCCATTCAAAACACAGAGAACCTAGAGCCCAGTAGTAAACCTAATAAGCTTGGTTCAACAGGATAGATAGAGCATAAACAGGTTGTTTCTTACTTGGCCACTCCAGAATCATATTTGAACTACCCTGCACCCCAGTGATTTAATGAAGGAAGACAGATGCCACTACAAATAGTAGTATGAAGAAAGGGAAAATTTAACATGTAAGAAATCAATTTAAGCCACAGTTCCAGAGTAGAAAATGACCTAGAAATATAAAAAGCACACACTTAAAAACCTCAAATGGCCAGACAAAAAAAAAAAATAAAAATAAAGAGATACCAAAACACTCAGTTACAGAACGAGTTTGCCACTGGACGTGTCCAAGTCTTGGTTTACTAGAAGTCCTAGTGAAGTCCTAGAAAAGCACGTCACACCATAAAAACTTCAAAGCTAGAACTATATCATACTTCAGTAGTTAAGAATCAGCTTCAGTGTTTCCTCTATTATCATCATTTTTAACTTCAGCAAATTACTAGGTCTTGAACAGTGACCTCTATCAAGTTTACTTCAAGCGGAGCTGTTTAGGGTTAGATAGTGTGACAGAGGACTCAAAATTCCAGACACTAGTCCACAATTTACTTGTTTAGTGGTGTATTAAGATTTGGTTCTGAAATTTACTCTGTATAATCTCCAGAAATATTTTTTGCATAGTTGAATTAAGCTTTGCAGTGCTATGCACTGCCTAGCATCAAGAAATCATGCTTCTTAAGTCTGCCAGAAATAACTAAGCCTGGAAATCAGCAGAATGATTGTTTTTTTACTCTACAATTTTTCTGAACTCTAACACACGTCCCTGGGAATTTCTTAAAAGAATCCTAGAAGGCAGAGAATAAAAATCAAAACGATTTTGGTTCTCAATTTTCTGTAAAGAAAGAAAAATAATAAAAATCACACGCTGTTGATTTGCCAAATAATTTACCTTCAAAGTAATGAATTGTAGATCCTCCAGGAGAACTAGGTGGGGGAATTCCACGTTCAGGACTAACCTGAAATGCCACACAAAAGGCATACTTTAAAAACTGCTGAGAAGACTTCCAGACAGTAAGTTCTCACAGTAAGTTTCCCCCTAACAACAAACACCCTCGGCTGCTGGTAGAACCAGTGAGAGCTCATATAGACCCAGCACATCGCATAAATCTAGATGTGTAGTGCCAGTTTCCCCTAATTCTCAAAGCATAATGCTTTTTTTCCTCATGAGAATAACATGAAACATAACACTGTATAACAAGAGGAACAGAATTTGTCAGCTGTTCCATATAAACACTAGTACAGTTGTTAGGTTAACTGACACTAATTATTTTGAAGCTTAGTCATGGAACCAAAATAAAGATCACTGAATGTAGTAAAACACTGCGTTAAGAGAAAATTCTACATATTCAGGGCTAAAGCTTATGGACATCTTCATAGAATCAGTTCCAAAACAGATCAAGTTATACAAACCTGTGAGATGCTAGACACACTGCTAGCCTTTCTCTTCAGTGTTCCTTCTTGGCAAACCATGAGTAGAGAACTGGGAAGAATGGATCTGAAATCATTAAAGGATCGTCGGCGAATTCCTTCAAGCTCTTCTGGAACTCTCAGGGAATGTGGGGGAATTTTGGGAAAAAGCTTTGAAAGGAGAGCCTCCTCTGAATTGCTGTAGCGACCAAAGGCTCGAGAAATTCCTATCAAGCAGGGCACTGCATACTTGCATAAATATTCTGTACAAAAAAAAAAAGAAAAAAAAAAGAAAAAAGACAACAGTATTAAGAGCAACTTTAAGCTACAACTCCAAAGTTTTGCTATCAGTTCATTAAACTGTTTCAGCTCAGCAATAAATAGAAAGATTTATTTGTGGAAGCAGAGGAAAAATCATGGAAGATAATTTATCTAGCTGCCATATTTGACAGACAGCAACAGGGTTAGTGTGTGATAAGAGAATTGCTCACATCTCAGAAGCAATCTTCATAATTAGAAAATGCAAGACACCTTCAGAGAACAGGAGTTCAGATACAGAAATGATATTAAGACATATTTTAACAGTACCTCTGTCGTGCATTTGTGGAGTCTGACACATTCCCAGCAGAAACTGCATTACTTGTAGAACTGCATCCAAAATCTAAACCAATCAAGACAGACATATAAAAACACATTTTGGTAAAAAATATAATATCTTATCTACACCACAGGTGAGACTTGCTCATGAACTTAGAAATGTAAGTATCTCTGTAAGCAAGATTTTGTAACATTGCATGATTGGAAGTATATTGCTCTCGCTCAGTTTACAGATCTTCCTTTGTAAAGCCTTCAGCTAACTGGCACAAACAAAGAACGAAAATTGCAGTAGTCCTGGTCTCAGTACCAAAATTTAAATACTAAAACTCTGCACTCGATGACTGTCATTCTTTGGAACCCAGAAATAAATAGAAACTTAGGAATATCTACTGTGTACCTGAGGGTTAACTAACTCAAGCAAAGTAAAGCAACAGGATAAATGTCAACACAAACTTAAATTCTACCTGTTCTCTGAGGGAGGCGTCCCTGTAAGCAACATCTGATAACAACGTTACCAAGCAGAAGCTGAAGTTTTCTGCAACTGGAAGCAAGCCTACAAAGTAATATATCAAACACTTGAGTATTGCTAGAGGGAGCATAGTAAGAGCAAACATAATAAAGACAACACGACTGACTCTCATGTCATACAGTTCTGAGACAGATTTCAGATATAGTACAAACAAAATTTAAAAATATATTCTAGCCATCATAATTTCAGCATGAAGTATTAAAATAATATTTTTAATTCGTAAAACCTTCTCCAGGTTTTCAAACACATAAAAAAAATATTTAATATCTCTTGTGAAACAGAATTATTCTTATACTAATTCTAAGAGGTATTAAAGGAGCAAGAAATTAAGTATCTAACTCAGTATCTAACAAAAGCAAAGTATAAAAATCTCAGGTTCCACTCTCTTGCTCTAAATTACTATGTAATCTTCCCTGATATAGTACTAAGATATATTGAATCGTTCGGAAAATGCAATTTATCATTTAATTTATCACTTGGCAGTCAAGCAGGAAAGCTGGGAGGTGTTCAGCTTCCTCTCCATTTCTAAAGAATAATTAATATTAAAGCTTGTCAGATGAGAACCTCATCACAACTCTCACCTCCCTTTATACCTTACCCTAAAGAGACTTATTTCTATTTCTTGGCTGTTATTTATTGAGAATGATAATTTTTAAAAAAATAATAATAAAATAACACAATACAACAAACATCACCTCTGCCTTTCCGTGCACTGCTTTCTTCTATCCACTGGACCTTGGGAAGTCCCTTTAAAAGCCGAAGGAGGTAAGGAACCACATTATCTTTGTGCTAAAAAGCAAAATATTATATTTAAAATAGAGACAAAAATGCTGAAAAATATCATCTCCAGTTACTTTAAAGGAATGAAAGCACCACATTAATCACACACAGAACTCCTAACGATTACTCCACACTCTTCTTGAACATTGCAAAACAGATTTCAATATAGGCAAAGGAAAGTAAACAAATTAATTCGGTGCTATAAACTCAAGTATTTCATTCTACTTAACAAGTTTATTCTCAATAAAAGTTGGGGTTAATTAAGTTTCTGGATCTTCTTTTTCCAATTCATGTACTGATTTACAGCAAAGTCACAAAATAATTTTAAGGCAGTTAGATATTTAGAAGTTATTCAGTTAGCTATTTAGAAGTATTATGCAAATCACCTAGCACAACCATTGAACAACTCAGTTAAATCTACAAATCAAAGGATAACGTTTTCCTTACTCACAGAGCTGGATTAATTAAACTGCTGGCTTTGAAAACATCACAAAAATGCTAAGAGGAATGAATACAACTGCCTTAAATTTCACACTTCAAAAAAAGTCCACTATGTATACAAGCTCAATCACAGTAAACAGTTGGAAACAATTCAAACCCTGGCAAAACTGAAAAGCTTGAAGAAGTCTAATGTCTTTAGACCCTGAAGTCAGTATATACTTCCTTTCTCTTTCAAGAAACAATACCGCATGCAGCGTTGGAGGAGAAAAGAACCAGCCTATCATAATTAGATACAACATGGATGCTTGAACACAAAGCCAACTACATAAACTGGTTGTCCTTCTATCCTAGCTAATGCTGAGGCATAACAAGGCTGTTATAAACCTGACAGTACAACTCATGCTTCCCCTCAGAAGACACTTCCCTCCTTTACTACCTCAAATTCAACGCTATGTGGTTGATTCATCACCCACCCTTTAAAATTTGTAAACAAGTGCCTCTGTCTTGTCTACCACCACCTGCAAGCCCATATAAAATGGCTTAATCTTTTCTGTCTCTCCTTAATCTGCAATGAATGAAAAATATAACAGCAGTCTGGCTCTGGCAGTACCACAACTGCTGTCACATGCATCAGCACTGTTTTTACTTCCTTGTCTCTCCTGACTGCTCCATCTGTTATCTCTGATCTTTTATCATGCCAATTTTTTAGAATAAATAATAATTTTTCATTAATTGAACGACTGCATTTGAATTAATCCAATATCTTTCAAGTTCAGTAGAGGAAGCCTAACAGGAAAAATACCTGAAGACCAGATTCAATTAGGAAGATTCCCAGAGCAATCACAGCATCTCTGCGACGTTCATCGAGCTGAAAAATTCCATGGAAATCCACTGGACACATACAGAGCAGTTTTTGTACCTGAAGAACAGTGAAGCAAAAGAATGGGGGAGCAAGGCCAAAAAAAAGTCAGAGCAATGCAAAAAAAGAAAAACAAAAACAAATGAGTGTTAGAACTGCCTTTCAAAAAAAAAACAACAACAACAAAACACAATAACAGAAAAACAAAAGCAAAAAAACAACTCAGTAGACCTTGGGAAAATCCCAGCTGTCTTTTTGTTGTTGTTGTTTAAGGACCAGCTCTACTTATCACATCCATGTCGCACAGCACCCCAAAGCAGAAGGTTAGGGCTGCACGAATACACATGCAAGTATTTTCACAGCAGAGAATCAATCTCAGGGGCTGTGGATTTCAGGACTCATCCAGAGCTCCTATAATTGAAGGGGACAGTGCTCTTTCCAGTTGCTGGCCACACGGCCCTCCTTTAAGCATCAATGTGTGAACGAAAACATCTAAGGGCCAAGAAAAAGAAACGAACAGCAGATACTGAGAAAATCAACAACTATTTGACATAGGTTGATTTCAGTTTCTTTCAACACTTGAACAAGCTTCTTTTTGTATTTCAAATTTCTGAAACTTTTCAAACCATCACAATTAAAAGGCTCATCTACTGATATCATTCAACTCCTACTGTAGTTTCTCACAGTGGGAAGAAAAAAAAAAATTAACAGTGGGTAACAGGGAGCCAACAGCAGGACATTAAGAAACTGCCCAGGGAGGTGGTGGAGCCACTGTCCCTGAAGGTATTCAGGAAACATGGAGATGTGGCACTGGGGCGCACGGCCCAGGTGGGGCAGGGTTGACAGTTGGTCTAGACTGTTTCAGAGGTCTTTTCCAACTGTAACAATTCTATGATTTTATGATATGCAGCTAGGTGTACAACCAACAACAGGACTTCAGAAGAACTAAATAAAGGCGCTGTAGCATCCGAGTGAGAACACCCACGAACTGCAGTTCTTGGAACCGAGCTGTGCCACCCAGCGCACAGGCACCCAGCTGAGATGCCGGCTCCTCACAGCCGCTGCTCCACGCGGAGCAGAGATCGCAGCAGGAAGCCTCCCAGAACGGAGACCCTCCTACCGAGTACTACGTTCGGCAGATGTTTACCTCAGCTATTTTTTTCCCCCACCCTGAGCAGATAACACCACTCCGACTTCACCAAATACCGCAATCGCGACCAGCTCCAACAAGGCCAGGACCAATGACGACCCACAAGCCCCAGCCCAGGCTTCCTCAGAGCACAGCGCTTTCACCGCGAGCCCACGAGAGCGCCCTCTCGCCCGTGGGCACGCCCGGCCCGGAGCACGGCTCAGACCGCCGGCACACGCTGCGACGAGACCCCGCGCAGCGTCCTCGCAGCTCCTCGCAGTCGGGGCCCGAGCCTTCCCCTCGCAGCACCCGGGGGTCTCACTCGCGTGACGCGCCTCGCACACGGCTCCCACCCGCGTGATAGCCCGCCGCGGCTCACGCCCCACACGCCGGCCCCACCTTCTCCAGCGGCGCCGGGCTCTGCACCGCCAGCGACCGCGCCAGCGACAGCACCGTGTTGAAGTAGAAGCCCCGCGCGGTGCCCGCGCCGGTCCCTCGGCCCGTGCCCGCCGAAGGAGCCGCAGCGGCGGCAGAGGGGGCGGCAGAGGGGGCGGCGGCGGTCGCGGCGGCGGCCGCCGCCGTAGCTGCCGCCGCCGCCGCCGCCGCAACCGTCGCGGCCGCCATTGCGCCAGAGAAGTCAGAGAGCGGCTAGGCCCCTTTCGCGAGAGTGCCTATCTCGCGACATTGTAGATCACCAATCGCGCCGAGAAGATGGCGGCGGCCCGCCTCGCTCCGCCGCTCGGAGCGCCCCGCCCCGCCCCGCCCCGCCGACGAACCGCCCCCTCTCTCAGCGGAGCGCCGGCCCGCTCCGGGGAAGCGGTAGTTCCGCCCGGTGCCTGCGGGCGGAAGAGCGGCGTCGTCTGAGGCTTCGTGAGCTGGGGAGGTTCGCCATGTCGGCCGTTTCGAGGAGCTGCAACCCCTTCGACGAGGACGAAGAGGAGACGCGGGGCGGCGGGGAGGTGTGCGGGGCGGAGCGGCAGCGCTGCCTGCAGCAGGAGGTGCTGCGCCGCTCGGCCGCCGCCGCCGACAGCACCGCGCGCTCCCTCTCGCTGCTCTACGAGTCCGAGCGCGTCGGTGTGGCCGCCTCCGAGGTGGGTCCGGGCCCCGTGGCAGCAACCCGACGGCGGGGCTGCCCCTGTTCTCGGGCTGGGCCGTGTCCGGCCCGGACGCGCCGCTGCCCCGCTCCGGTGTGGGTTTTGATTCTGGCGTTTTCCCGTCCTCTGGGCGCCGTCGATCGTTCTCGGAATCCATCGGCGTCTCGGAGGCAGCGCATCCCTCCGTATCGCGGTTTGCTGCTGGAGAGGGCTGGTTTTTAAAGCGTGACATCCCAGTTGGAGTCTCTTTACACCGAGAGCAGAGCTCAGCTTCTTACTGTCAGTTTCTTACTGGGTTTCATTAACAGCGCATATACTTAGTTTTCAGCGACTCTCTAATAAAATGAGACGTCTGCGCACTTAGTCGTTGATCATACTGTTGGTTCCACCTCTATTAATCATTTCCTTCATTCTCACGTACTTGTTTTGGAGTGCAGTTTATATTCAGACATCACTAATGAGGGCCTTGCCGTGATGTCATCCAGTAATTGGGAGTTCGCCTGATCGCAGCAGCGTGACCGCCAGAGTGACCGAGCTCTGCCCTGTGGTCTCTGTGTTATGAAGGGCTGAGATGAGAGACCAAGAATTGAGTCTTAGCATAGCCCTTGGTTTTGCACCGGCATTAGCTGAGGGCAGGTCTTCTATCAGAATGAATCCTTGGATTGCTTTAGCGCAATGCCACTGAAATAACACAGCTGTGCATATCAGGATTTGTAACTCCTGCACTGTTAGCATTACCTTAAAGCTAATCCTGCAGTAAGGAAAAAAATTCTAGCTGTATTTACTTTCTTCAGCTAGTTTGTTTACAAATCATCCAGAACAACCCAGCGATGTGAAAATAGCGTCCCTGGTTAATTTCCAGTTTCAGAACTAGACATAGAACAACAGGAGTGAGTGAAAAGGCTTGCAAGCCTTTAGGAGTAGTCTGCACAGTTGAAAGAGTTGTTGTTTTGGGGTTTTTTTTAAGCACATTTATTAAAAATGCTTGATTTTTCAGTTTACCTTGGCTTTACTAGCTTCATTTTATCTGTCAATGTCCATTAGGAGCTCATACGTCAAGGAGAGGCACTGAAGCGTACAGAACAAATGGTTGATAAGATGGACCAGGACCTGAAGACTAGTCAAAGGCACATAAATAGCATTAAGAGTGTTTTTGGAGGCCTGGTTAACTACTTCAAAGCCAAACCACCCGAGAGCAAACCAGAACAAAATGGAATGCCTGAATATTATGGCAACAATAGGTAAGTCAAATGAAAACTGTATTGGGGCGTGGTACTGTTTTCTTGGGCTCAAGCAGGGGAGTTGGCTGTCATCAGAATTTTTCTGAGAGAATCGGGATCTAGAGCAGTTCTTCTAAAGTAAATGTTAAAGTGGGGTAGTGCTGTCATATATTTCTCATTCTGTTACCAGGGCCTTAGCTGTCTTCTCTGTGCTCTTTGATCCCTCTCCAATTACCTGACTCTTACAAAGAGAGTGTTCTCTGTTTCCTCACAGTGTCACTATTTTCATTCATGTGTCTTTCTCCTAAACTCTTCAATTAACTCTTCAATCTTCTTTTTTTTTCTTTCTTCCCCACAGCATCTCTGAAATGTCACCACAAAATCAGAATTTAAAAATTATTTATTGATTCTGTAAACTCCTGAGATGGTGTCTGGTTCCCTTTTTGCTTTAACTCTGAAAAAAATATACTTTTCCTTATATTTGTAATGGTAAGAATAACTTCAGATTTTTAGGAGTTTATTCGCAAGTTATTTTTCAGAGTCCCCGAATCATCGTGCTTAATTCAGTTGTATGAGGAAATTACGATTTTGCAGCATTGGCATGCTTCTACTTAAATATTATGCATCTTTCTCAACTTTTTTTTTTATTAAAAGCTGTAAACAGAAATGAATTACTGTGTCTTCCAGTACTTGTCTGTCTTCAGCTGAGAAATTTATGTAAAGCATGGTAGTGCTGTATGGATTGATTTTCCTGCTTCCCTTTTTCATTTTCAGTTGGAGGAAAGGAATAGGTTGCCTCCAAGACTGCCGATGTGGTTTTGTGCTTGATATCAAAGCTTACACTATTTTCAGCACTAGAGCAACCAATTCTGTTTTCACTGAAGATGTGATAATAATTAGTTGTAAAGGGATATGTTGGATCAGGTGTAGTAAGTTCTCTTTTCCTGGATGATTTCAATGCCTGTTCTTTAATTGATTCAGAATGAAGCCTTTGATCCGTAAGAATATTTTAGTTTTATTATTTCTATTACCAGATTAAAAGAAGCAGTGATGTCTAGCAAAGATCAAGACCCAAAATATCAGGAAAGTCATCCGAATTTAAGGCGCCTAGATAATTCAGGTTTGTTTATTTTATACTGAATGCCTGTTGTCAAAGTGGAGGGAACTTGCTCAGTGGTGAAGGTAGGACCAACTGCTGACTTGTGTTGCTACCTAATTTCTGGAGGCTGGTATTCTAGCATTCCTGATTTGTAATTTTTTGAGAAAAAAAATGCTTTCTGGTAACATCAATCTCCATTACATTTCACAAAACATTGAGTCTGTCCAACAGAGGGTAGAAGTGACTCTCTAGTGGCTTTACCTGAGCGAATGTTAGCTGATAGAAGGTAGTAAACTTGTTTTGTTGGTAGTGGGATTTATTGGCTATTTTTGTTTGGTGTCTTTTTTTTTTTTAGCTACACAGTGGAGTTACAAAAGACAACAAGAGGGTGATTATAGCTTTATAATTGTTTATTTTGAGTGTGTCCGGTAGGAAGTGGTGTTGGACTGCTTTTGATGCTCTTGCTAACTGGTTGTATAATTACATGGCAACTATAGTCAAATTAAGTTTTGATAGCTTTCCAAAACTTGATTCTTGTTTCTTTATTATATACTTTATTTTGTACTCTTAATAGATAGTGATTTCAGCAGCATAGATTCAATTTCTTCAGTGCAACGGGATGCCTATCCAAAGAATCAATGTCTGCAAGCTTACCACAAAAAAATTGATAACAACTTAGGTAAGTGAGAAAATTGAAGCTGTTTGACATAGTACCATTTTCAATTTTCTGTTCTCAAGCCAGAGAAACCTTAATATATCCCCGAGAACTTTTTTTGCATAGTTCATGTGAGCTTTGATATAAAAAAAAAAAAACAACAAAAAAACAACGCTTGTAGATTGTCTTTCCAAACCATCTACACCAAAAGCATGAGTCCTCTTAGATCATATATTGACCGTAAGAAAAGCAGTCTTACTAAATGTGAATATGCAAGTAAATCTCTGGTCATTGAATGAGAAAATGCTGCTGATGTATCCCAGGATATGAAAATAATTCCCAGGATATGTTAATATTTCTTTCAATCATCCTGTGACTGAAATATCATTAGGACAAGCAGGCTAATCCTTCCATTTTCAAGGGAAAAAAAAAAAAAAACAATAACAAAACAACCTTATTAAGATACTAGTAGTGTTAAAAATAGTAATGACTCTACTTGACATCTGGATTAGAGTAGTATGGTACTTATTACCTCATTATGTAAAGTTTACCAGTTATCTTGAAAGACATATTAAATTTATCAGACTGACAGCTGTATCATGCATGTGTTAAATTGCACACCGATTTGGACCAAGAGAACTTAAAACTTCTAACTTAAAACTTAAAACTGCATCTTTTGAAATAAACATGTTTTGCAGAAAATAGAACAATTGAAAGGTACTGAATAATTAGTGAATTTGCTCCATTTCTTTTAGTACTTCCAAAAATATTCAGCTGACTTTTTCATTTTGCTGTAGCGTATATACAAAGTGTATACATATGTCACTATTTAGCTGACCTAACAAGAAAAGATTGGGAGGAAATCAGAAAGGAATAGATCAAAGAGAAATAATCAAGCATAAGAATTAGTGGAAACACATTTTTCTACTCACAAATCATGCAAAACTTACTAGCTTTAGAAGCATCTGTATCAATCGTGCACACAACAGCATAGTTTTTTTGTAGTCAAATTCTGGAAATTTAATTTTCTCATCTATGTTAAATAATTAACTGCTTAAATCTTCAGAATCTTCAGAATATTTAGAATATCTCTGCATGCAGATCAGTTGGGAAAAAATAGCTTATTGTTAATACTGAGCTGAGGAAAGATACAGTCCAGTTTTCAACAAGATCTTTTAAAAAGTGAAAACTACATTAGAGTTACATACAGTAGAGTATCATTATAAAGGTTGAATTTGATTTTAAGTATTTGACTTATAATGGAAATAAATACAAATTACTTTCTGATTGTATTGCAGTAGAAGCATTTAAATTTTGCTTCTTGCATTGTTAGAGAGTACTTGGATATGAGCAGTTGTAAATAATTTTTTCTAATTCAAGGTTTTGGAGGAGAGAAAATCCTGGTAGTATCCATTTAAAACAATATGCTTTCTACTGCTTTGAATCCTTATGATCAATCTTTCCTTTGACAGATGAGATGTCTTCCGGATTGAGTCGTCTGAAAAACCTAGCTCTTGGTCTGCAGACAGAAATAGAAGAGCAAGATGATATGCTGGATCGGCTAACCAAGAAAGTAGAGATTCTGGACGTCGGTATTAAAAGCACCGATAAAAAAATCCGACAACTTTAAAGATCTAACAAATTTTTGTCCAGCATTA